GCAATTGGGTTGAGGGTTCAATAGGTGTACGTCCGTCCGATCGATCCTCGATTCGGTCTAGTCCGACTGGCCCATAATCGTTTGATTAATGGCCTGATCGGCGAGAAGAAAACCAACAAATTTTTGTGTGTCATCGCCCACAGAAATATGTCAGATTGAAATCGCATGGAATTCCATTTGATAAATGAGATTTTTGCAGCTTTAGCTGTTCCGGCAAATGAAACTCTCGTTTGCGGCAGCGGCAGTGGCAAGAACTTTTATGGCCAATTAAGCGTAAAAAGGCATCGGCCATCGGGCGATTACATAAAAAGAAAAGGCAATTATATGCCGCATCGGGCAGAGATAGAAATAAGATGAAGAAGAATAAGAATAAGCCTTCTTCTCTCGGCTCGTTGCTCTTGGCCATCTCATGCGATTAATATGGTAAAAACAACGGCAACAAGAACAACACTTTCTCGTGCTGGCAATTGAATTAATTCGTATGATTAGAGTCTCTTCTAAGTATTTTCTTATTAATTGTCTTCGTTATACAGTTAGTCAGAGGCGGTTGCACGTAAAGCACCATTAAACAGTGGTTATCCCAGAATTCTCCCAGTCTCCCCCCACAATTTCCCCACCTTTATTAAAGTTTAAACGCATTCCGCCTCCCTAAGCAAATGACTCAATATGGTAAGAACAATGCCACTCGCTTTCATTTAAAACTTCTTAGCGGTAAATACAGCTTGTTCTTTTCCCATTTCTAGCAGATTTCGATCTTGTTGTTGGCTAGAGCAATTTGGCTTTAACAACAGCTGGGGGGCTAAAAAAACAGTGCCGGCCAAAGCGGAAACCAACAATTTAGCAAGTGCTGAAGCGCCGCCAACTGAAAAATGTGTAAATAAGCGAAAGAATGAGTGAATGGGCTAGGGGATTGAGTTACAGTCAACCCTGGCTATAACGCTACTTTAGATTTTAATTATTAAAAATTGAAGACAAGTTTTAACCTTACCAGGTCCTAAAGTAAAGCGTAACAAGCTCACATAAATTTTGTATTTTAAGGATCGTTTTCCTATCCGCATGGTAAACTTAAAGTATGGCTTAAATCTAGAAAAGGCTTGGAAATTTAGACCTACTTTTAATTTAACAAACCAAGGAGAGTACGGTTCTAAGAAAATTGAAGAAAAATTAAGCAGGCAAATAGTATTATAATATAAAAAGAATTTGTGATGGTATTTCAAAAAATTGTTTTTGTTTATGTTTAAGTTCTGTAAAATATTTAAAGTTTGTATGTTACGTTGGTATGTCTCTTTAATAAAACAATTTACAATACTAATTTTAGACGATACTCTGTTGTTATAAAACAAATAATGTTTTATAAAGCATCCAAAAATTTTCATAATGGTTATAGATATAATATATATCTTATGATCCTTATAAATATAAGAAAATCTATTGTAACACCGCAGGCTTTTTCCTTGTCTTAAGAACTCGGTACTTTCAGTTCCTAAAAGAGTGTTCACTGTGGTAGGTTGGTTGCACCCAGCACCGAACGTGACGTGGAAATGGCGACAAATTGTCAAGGGAGCTTACTCGCTATAAGAAAGGGAGCCGCAGCCCAGGCCCAGCCGTGTTTACAGTTACGTCACGCATTTGTCATCAAGCCCGGCTAACAAGGCCAAATTAATTCAAGCCAAGGCAAGGAACCAACATCGCGTAACAAGATGATGCAGATGCAGTCAAGTTGATTGGCTGACTGCCTCTCACCTTGGCAATTAATAAATTTAGCCAAGGCATCGCCAAAAAAAAAGAAAAACAGAAAATAGGAGGATGGCCAAAAGCAAGATCCATCCAACCAGCCAAGTCATGCCTCATGTTCCGTGTGTGTGCACAATGCCACATGAGGTGGCAGCTTGGGGCAGCTTTTTGCATGCAACATTTACATTTACATCTGTTGACGCCGCCTGAGCATTAAGCTTATCCACCTTGGCCACAAACTCAAAGTCATGGCGATGCATCCGTTCCTTTTGACCACGTTTTACTGTTCATCCGCTCGCCTCGGCACTCATGTCCAAACTGTTGTGTAATTTAATTAGCCAGCTGCGCATAATGTTCACGCCAAGTGCAAGGCTAAAACTTGGTAGTCGTACATTTACCGTTCCCGTGCAGATCGCCTAGAATCTGCAAAACCAGAGGGGGTTCACTTTGCATCTCCTGTTTTAAATATGGCCAAATGTGCGACAAGTTGTCAGCCAAGTTTATTTAACTTAACTCCGCCCGCCCAATCGATCAGGCCGTTAATTTAAGCGGTCAAATGAGACAGGAGCCTGCAGAAGCACAACTCATTGGCCTTAATGTCTGATGGAGCTTACGATTTCCGGGGTGTTGACTTGGCTTGCAGACTCCCAAAAAGGGGGGGTTGGGAATGAGGAATGAGGGCGGGGAAATGGCCAAGATGTGCGGAGGCTGCTGGACTACGAAGACGACCACGACGACTGACGCAATCAGCTGACGGAATCGCAGTTCTATAAATGGCATCCAGCAATTGCGTCATTGGAAACAATTAACAAACAAAAAGTTGTTGGCCGATAATGACGAAGACGACACCACCACTGACAGAGCGTTTGAGAGATGGAACGAATGGCAATTTGCGCCGGTCGCATACAACTGACAGCCACTGTATATTCACTTCACTCTCCACACAGGAGCAACACGAAGAGGCCACGACAAGATCGGGTAAAGGTACACTGGGAAAAATATGTAACCAGTTTGTAATTCCCTTCCTGGTTAGACCTTAACAATCTCTAGTACAGTCATAAAAATAATTTTCATAAGATTTATCAGGTGGAATATTGGGTGACTAAATTGTATTCCTCAGGAATGCTAAAGATCTAAATGGTTTGGATGTTCTAAATCCTAAAAAACTTACAACGGAAGGGGGTTCTAGTAAACTAAAAAGGAAAAAACTGTTAGTGATATCCCTGCCAAATTCAAGTCGAGTGTTTATTGAATTAGCGTTATGACTCTCTTAAAATATATTTATGTATCATAAACATAAACGTATACGAATAGGAAATTATTATAAGCTAAAGGCAGTATACTATTTATAAAACATATCCATCAGTTTATATGGTTAGTAATCATTGTTTGATATCAGTGAATTCATACAATAAATTCCATATTAAATAATAAATATCAAAATTATTCCTATGTTTTAAAATTGATGACCTATTCTGGCAATATCTTACATTTTTTTCTAAGTGCACGAGTGGGCTTTGAGATGGATTTCCAGGAAGAGAGGGCGAACCAATAGACCTCTGGGAGGCAGGCGGACAGAGGATCTCTAATACTGCAACTAAATGCTTTGCAATTATCACATTTGTGGCCCGTAGTTGGCTGGGACCATTCGAAACCCCCATCCCCCCTGCTGTTTATGACCAACGACTAAACAAGTTGGTTTATTGAGTTCCCGTCGCAGTTTGATGGATTTACGCGGTAACATTGACACATTGACACTGCTTAGCATATTGGGGGAGTGGGATCCATTAGGACCGGACAACTCCCACTCGTCAGGCAACTGGCGCTGACCTGGAGAACCGCCTCTATACGTCTGTAACCCCCTAACCACCATCTGCACCCATCCCATTACCCAGCTGCAGTTGAGGTTTTCTAATTTATTTTGTATGCATGGCCGTTAAGTGTAATTGGTCACTGAAAAGGATGATGAGGCTAACTGCAAGCCAAGTTGAAGGTGGGCGGGGGGTTTGTTCCCCCATGGAGCTGGGGGTTCGAGAAAATTACCAGTATTTCCTGTGGCTCCGACTGAAGATTGATGATAATCGTGCGTCGTGTGTGTCAAGTTAGTGGCCCAGGCCAAGTTATTTCTTGAGATAGCAGGCGGGTGTATGTGGGGCCAGAATGCGCTATCAGAGCTGAGGTCTTGTCATAAATGTGAAAGTCACAAATGGCACCTTCTCCTCGTCCTGCTCCTCCTCCTCCTCCAGGTCCTGCCTCTTTCAGCCCAACTGACAAATCGCTTGTTTAATTCCTCCTCTTGAATGGATCTCCCAAACCGAATACGAATCTATTCCCTGCGCCTGCGTTTACCGTTGAGTGGCCAGAGACGCCTCCAGGCCTAACACTTCTCCGCGAGGAGGAGCCCCGAAAACAGTTTTCAGTTTTCAGTTTTCCGATCCAGCCCCAGATCCTCAACCGCGGATCCGATCCGCCACCAGCAGCCAGAAACGTGACTGGAATCCCACACAGGGGCTGCGATAGTGACACAGACGGAGGACGGAGTCGCAGATGGAGATTGGATGGAGCAGAGTGGGGAGACTCCCAGTCAGACAATTGCATAATCTAGCCGTGGCCATGGCCATGGCAATTGCGATTGCAATTGCAGTTGCACTTGCAATCCCAGACAAAACGCCGAGATCCACACACACACACACACTGGTTCATGAGACAATTGTTGCAACATTGCCCATGCCCCAAGGCTACACTAGCCAAAAAATCATCCAAAACAGATTGCTCAAATTAGTTGATAGATTATGGTAATCTCGCTGAATTTATAACAGTATCAATATGAAATTTAGGATGCAATTTATTATCAAGGGTATTATTTTATATGGAAGGTGATATATTATATTTGATAGATTAACTTGATTAAGGATTTTATAAAAGCAGAGTAATTTCATATTGTATATCATACGACTAATGCTGAAAAGTTTGTAATATCATATCATATCATCATTACCAATAAACTGGGCACCAGGGGTTTAAGATGACAAGTTGTGTTATGCTTATAATTTCTTTTTGTGAGATATAAGATAGATGATACAAATCCTCAATCTTAAGGAAATTTTTTAGTGATTTTTTTCATTATGATATTTTCTAGCCTTGAAACTTGTATTTTAAAATTTAAATAAGTTCTACCACTCAACTGGATATAGTCCCATAACAAATTTAATTGTATGCTTCCAAGTCCCTAGAAATATCAATCACTTTTTAAACCTTTGTTCAGCAGGGATTTTGTTGGCTGTTTTTCCCAGTGTAGACCAGCTGAGTGGGGACAAACCGAACTGCAGCCAGGTGGTAGGAGGAGATGTCTTTCCCACCTTTCACGACTACTTTTTCCCGACGGAAAAGGAAAAGGTGGGAAAGACAGGGAAGCTGGCGATGACTTGAGCCACAAAACGATGCCATTTGCATGGCAATGATTTGGTTATTTTGGCCCCAGCTCGGGGTTCTTCCCCGGAATCCCCGGGATTTGGAATCACCGGCTTGAGTTGAGTTGACTTGGCGTGGCTTGTAAACGATTTTGCACGTTGCAATTGTCGGCAGTTGTTGTTTTTGCTTTTGCTGTTGCATTTTCCCTGGCTGCAGTTGTTGTCTTATTGATTTGTGCATTCATTTGATTGTGCGCGCGCATTTGTTGCCAAATTGTTTGAAGGAGGGCCAGAGAGCCGGGGCCAAAAACATTGTCGTGGCTGCTGATTGCGATAGGAATATATATTTTCCAATGGGCAGAATGGCAGAGGGAACCACTTGGCCAAGTGGCTGTCCCGTCCATCCACATCCACAACCACATCCACCTTGGAGGCATGTTGGCCTGTTGATGACTCCCCGAATTGCTGCCTCTGCCGTGATATTTCATGCTCCCCATACCCATTCACATTGCCAGTTTTCCAGGGAACTTCGCTACGGGTCATTTTCGGCTGTAATGTTATTTCTTTTAAATTTATTGTTAATGGAAATTTATGCTCCGCTCAACGGTTGCGGCCACAACACGCTGCTTACATGATTTTCGGCGGCGGGGCATGTGGTCGGGCTCATGTGGCACGTTTTGCTGATTTGTCATGTTCGCAGGTTAAATGCTAATGCCTCTCAGTCTGAGTCAGACTTCGACTTAGACTTCGACTTCGATACGGCCTCCCACTCGGCTAGCACTCAATCTGATTCCAAGTACTTTTGCCCCGAAAACGAACTGCTCTGTAGAGATTCCTCTCGAATGTGGGTTAAGTCCATGTCTAAGTCTTGCTGACTTCGTCCCGAAGCGGTTTAGGGTTCTCACGAGTTGGCTCGCTTGGCCCATAAAAGTGGTGTCAAATAAATTGTAATCAGCGGCCGGCAATAAAAATTCAATAAAAGAAGTTGCAGAAAAGCCAGGCAAGGGCCAAGTAACTTTGAAATTCAATTATTCCAAGCCCATTTCGCCCACTAGCCGACATTTAGAGGCAAAAAAAACTTTATTGGACAAGACTTTGGCTCAGGGTCTAACCACCATTCCAGACTGGTCTACCTTTTGGAGGAGGTCGCCCGCTTTTTATATAAGCAGAAAGTGATGGAGCATAAACTAGCGATCTTTTAAAAAATGTTTAAGTTTATTTATTTGTAAAATTTTTTTTTTTAATTTCTTAGTCATGATTTTTATAGCAAAGTATTATTTTAATACGAAATGGGCTTACTTTTTCATTTCAAGAACATTTCATTCTTAAACCAGCATTATTAGTTTGAGAACATTTTCGGGCGAAATTAAGTAAGAAATGTTCTTGATCCAAGCATTTATTATGCATAAAATAAATTCTTCTTAAACGAAGTCTGATTGAATTGAATTAAGGTTTTATTATTATTTGTACAAACATAATACGATTTATTCATTAATCAAGTACAAGTTATTCTCAAATTAATTATGAAAAAATGTTAATTCATCATCATCACCATGTATGATTTTTATACCCGTTACTCGTAGAGTAAAAGGGTATACTAGATTCGTCGGAAAGTATGTAACAGGCAGAAGGAAGCGTTTCCGACCCCATAAAGTATATATATTCTTGATCAGGATTACTAGCCGAGTCGATCTAGCCATGTCCGTCTGTCCGTCTGTCCGTCTGTCCGTCTGTCTGTCCGTCCGGATGAACGCTGAGATCTCGGAAACTATGAGAGCTAGGCTATTGAGATTTGGCGTACAGATTCCTGAGCTTCTTACGCAGCGCAAGTTTGTTTCAGTAGACTGCCACGCCCACTCTAACGCCCACAAACCGCCCAAAACTGTAACTCCTACAGTTTTGATGCTAGATAGAAAATTTTAACTGAAATGTATTGTTCTCATCAAAACCTATCGATTGACCTAAAAAAAAGTTAGCCACGCCCACTTAAACGCCCACAAACCGCGAAAACCTGTGACGCCCACAATTTGCATGCTAGATAAAAAATTTTAACTGAAATGTATTGGTGTCGTCAATACCTATCGATTGATCCAAAAATAATTCTGCCACGCCCACTCTAACGCCCATAACGCTTAAATCTGTCTACCGCCGGTAGGTGGCGCATTTTAATTTCGCTTTGCTGCTTGCATATCTCCATTTCCCTTTGAGTAACGGGTATCTGATAGTCGAGGTACTCGACTATAGCGTTCTTCCTTGTTTTTAACTTAGCGTTGTACTGAGTATCACTTGTTTACTATTTATAGAATGCATCCTGCTTTTTTAAATATTTATAAGGATTTATTATTCTTTATTTTCCTTTGATGATTACAAAAGATTGGCAGGTATTTAATCGGTGCAGTCCAGTTCTCCCTCAATTAGGCCCTCCGTCCCTATCCCCATTCCCAGTCACATTCCCATCTTATCCCATCCGCTCCGAGGAATTGAATGGCCGGCTGCCATGTCTGTCTGTAATTTAGAGTCCATCGGACCTTTTCAACGCCTCATCTCCGGCGTCCTTAATGCTCTATTAATGCCCTTGCCTTGGTATTTGTTTTATTGGCGGCCTGCCTTCTGTCTTCTGGCTCATTCATTTTTTCTGTAGACCTCGTTTCTTGGCGGAAGTCAAGCTGCCATTTGTGGGCAGGCCGACTCTTATTTTAATTTCTTCGGGCGCCGCTTGCATTACGCCCACCTTGAGGCAGTTGCTCAGATTACACAGACTCGCAGACTGGGCAGAAATGTAGGGGTTTTTCCAACGGAGGAGGGGATAGTGAATAGAGAACAAGAGCCATTTCAGTTGCATTTGCCATTTTTAATTGCCTTGGCCAGAGATTTTCCGCATTTAATGCCTCGATCTCATTGTTTCCCGAGGATTTTCACTCTCGCAATGCATTGCAATGGCTAATTAAACCAAATTATCGCATGTCCACGGCTAAAGTTACGTAGGAAAGCACCTAGATTCCGCCCAGAAATTGTGGATTTGCTGTGGCCATTAGTTCGAGATTAAGTAGTTAGAGTCAATTATTTAAATTAGTTTTGCCGTCTACAAATGGCAATGGTGTGGCCTCTGCTCAGTCGCAGTCTGCTCCAAATCCTGGACAACAAATGGCCTCGTCGGCAAGGCATTTAAGCCGATAATTTCGAGGCATCCTACACATGTTCGACGGTAATAAGAATTTGATTGCCCGGCCCGGTCTAAAATTATGCCAAAGCCAAAGCCCAAGCGCTCCAAACTAAACCAAAGCAGTGTGTGAGTGTGTCTTGGGCTAATGCCAGGTTTTTGCTTTCCACCGGCCCCAGAAAGTAGCCCTGCGGGTTTATTAAGCCACCTCGATAAAAGAAAACACAAAGCGATGCACTTGGATAAATATTTTATACAAAATGCCAGTATAATTCAATGATTTGCAAGCTTACAAATTTGGAAGGCAAATGTTTCTTATTATGATAATGATTATTATAAAGAATGTGATTAGCTTATCGCTGGCTTACATCTTGAGAGGGGCCAAGTTCTGTACTCCCTATATTAAGCATAATATATAACATACATATAATAAACATTGTCTAAGTATATGAATTAAATATTAAATGTTAAAACAAGATACTACCTGTTATGCTTGCGATTTACCCAGGATAGATTTATTGCAGTGTAATAATTGTTGAAAAACAAAAGACTTAAGCCACAAACTCGCTTCTCAACACATGGCAATTATGTTTGGCAATTGTTTAGTGTTTGCCAGCCGGGTCCATCTCGTCAACGTCCGACGATGAGGATGATGATAGGGGGCGTGGCCCGGCTAGCCAGTCCAGAATCCAGTCCAGCTCCGATTACTGGACGACATGCTAGCCCACTTTTTGGAGTATACTAGCACAAAGAATGTGGATGCGGCGGCATAGATACATGTAGTAACCATTTTTGTTTCTTCTTTTCCTTTCAGGCTCTCACAAAGTACACTGTTCAGAGGATCAGATGAGGGTGGACATTGGACTGCCGGATGCGGAATCGAAGGATCAGATGGCACCTCAGATCTACTTGGAGGGATTGAAGGGCTATCCAGATGTGCGTTGCCAGCCGCAGATCGATGGATCATTGGCCGTTTTTCGGCTTTCGTTGAGTGACTTTTACGAGTGCGGAGTCACGAGGATGGTCAACCAGTTGACGGTGAGGAGAGACTGACTATGCCCGGATCCCAATCCCCCTAGCTCTTGTTTCCTTATACAATTCCTTCCAGGGCAAGAAGGTGTATTACCATAAAATCATCATCGAATCGGCCAGCAGCAAGGAGATCGTCAGCGTTAAATGCATCACCACCGCCAGTCCCGCCTATAATGTTATGATGAATGCCACCACCGGGTCCAGTTCCAGTTCCACGTCCAGCGGCGGCGGCAACATTCACGGTCTGGTGAAGCGGGATGTGCTGCCGGCGGGATTCCAGGAACCCGAGTAAGTCGCTCTCTGGGCAGGCACGCTCCGGATTCGCAGAGCAGCCTCCCCAGCGCTTTTAATTGCCCATAAATGCTAAAATGCATCTATGCACAATTTTATGGCCAATCTATGCAAAAGTTTATAGCATATTAAATGCCCAGTCCGGCCCTGCTCCTAACCAATCCAATCCCAGCCAGGCTGAGAAGACCCAACCGAGGGCCATAAATCAAACCTATCCCAGTTCATTGCCTCCCACTCTCTCTCCATCTCTCCATCTCTCCATCTCTCCGTTGGCTTTTCCGAGAGTTGCCATTACCAGGAGGTAATTAGCCGCCAAATCGACGCCGGCGGCTTCACATGCGTTAATACCTCCACAGTCAATTTAATTGCGGGGCGTGTCGAGGTCCCTCTCAGAACCCCGGGTTTCAGTTTTTGCCAGCACCATCAGTACCATCACTACCTTTACCACCACCCCTTCCCCTGATCGAATACAATGTTTGTTTTTCATTGCCGCGGCATTGATTTACTACCTTTTGGCGGGGTCCTCCCCTGCCGATCATTAAGACCTCGAATCGGGAGTACTGAACACGTTGAATCGATTTGCTTTCAGGGATCTGGAGATCACCACGTCGCTGACCAAGCGGGCCCCCGAGCCAAGACTGTCCATCGGTGTTAGCCAGGATGGCCAGAAATTCACCAGGGATTTGACGGTCAAGTCGGTGAGTGACTAATATCGTTGTCATAATTTTAGGATTACAATATAATATATAGTATGTATGTATTAAACGCTCAACGAATTTATTGAAACCTTGGTTTACTTTCATGTGAAAAATTAAACACAGTTTAACTTCCGTACCTTGAACTTACATAATTCAAAGTCTTTTAAATATAACTAGTTTTATTGGCAATATATGGTATAAGTGCTTATAAAACTCTAAATAGGGCTTTCGAGTTATAAAAGTTTGACTGTAATAACTACAGGTCCATAATTTAATTTATAACTTTAAATTTTTACGAACAAAGTTATTTTATTAACACTACACATGAACGGTTTTGAGTATTTCTTCTACCATTAACGTTTCACGAAAAAATACACTTAAATATTACACATAAAGATATAATGGTATATCTTCCCTTAAACTATTTTCACAATTGGACGAGGTTTTCATTACAATGCTAAACACTCAAAGAACATTTTTTTTTGTATTAATATAATACATAACATTTTTCTTGCTACAGGGTACACCGTTGACCATGGAAATCAATCTGGATGAGGACTCAGCACCTGTATATGGTCTGGGTGTGAACTATCTGGATGTGACGGACACGCATACCTCCTCGGAAACGCTTATCTTCAAGGGGTAAGATATTTATTCATATATGATTTAAGTGCATAAATTAAACGATTTACAAAACATTTTAGCTGCACTGTGGATCCCTATCTGTTTGAGAACTTCAACACCATTGACGGCGACATTTTAAGCGCCAAGTTCAAGGCCTTCAAGTTCCCCGACTCGTCGTATGTCCAGTTCCGGGCCACGGTCAACGTGTGTCTGGACAAGTGCCTCGGCACCCAGTGCTCCAACAACCAGGTGGGATTCGGGCGACGCAAGCGGGAGATCAGCTCAGCGAACAAGGTCTACGAGATATCGCTGGCCATGTTCCTGCAGGTGCAGGACATCGAAGGAGTCAACAAGAGTGAGTTTTATTTGTATTTAAGTAAGACAACATAGCTGATCTCTTAACCTTAAATGATCCCTTAAAATTTCTTCGGTTTTGTAATTCTGAGAGTTTCCTAGTCTAGATATAGAACACTTAAATTTAGACAAATATATTCAGTAATAATTAAAAGAACACCAATATTTAGTTTAAAATAATACCTATATTTAAGAATTATTTATATTATAAGACTTGTAAATACTCCTAAGCTAAGTTTGTTATTATAATTTATTAACATTACAATAATACATTTTTGTTTAGCTTATAAAGGGAGTATAAATATTTTAAAGATAGAGATCATTCCCATTTCTACTCATATGATAACTTACCATCTTATCCTCTTTTCCCATGACAGATGAAGTGCTGCAGCTGGAGGAGAAGCTGCGGGAGCTGAAGCTGGCCAACCAACGCCTGGCCAGGAATAGTCGTGGCAACTTCGCCGTGGAGCAGACGCCGGCCAGTGCCCAGCCCGCCTTCGTGGTGGATGAGCGGGAGCTGGGACACCTTAGTTCCGGATCGGGATCCGCATCCAACGGCCTGTCGCTGCTCCTCTGGACGCTCCTTGGGGCCCTGAGTTGGCGGCTGATGTAGAAGTTGTAAATCTCTCAAGGCGTGAACGACGTGCGAGTGCGAGGAATGCTAATCAGGGCGGAATTGCGTGCAGTGGCAATGAACGAAGGAGGGAATATTAATGTACTACCTAACTACTAAAATATACCTATACTTGATGTAACTGCCATTTACAGAACGTAATTAACTTTAAATGTATGCGTAGCTTAGGTTTTCTACGACTTATGGCAGGCGACATTGCGACAGAAACAGAAACAGAAACAGACAGACAACAGTGATTCTTATAAAAATACACACAAAACACTTACATATAAATATATAAATATGCATATATATTGGAGAACTTGAAGAACTCGGTCTAACTCATAAGCACCTACTAGTCTCCTAAGTGTAACTGTTAAGCTAATTTAATTAACGACTAAACTAAACGAATTAATTGATTAAACGAAACTCTGATCGAAAGGACTTTGTCGACTCTGTTTAATTTATCGCAACGAATAAAGTGTAATTAAATAATGTTTTGCTTGCGCGAGCTTCGATGTTCACTTGAAAAGGTAGGTCCACTGGATAAGTTAGGGCTAGAGCCCGAAAGAGTTTAATAAAGTTGTTAAAACAAAAATATGAGGTCTATAATTTGCTTCGCCGAGCTTCCGATTTCCTTTTTTTAGGTGGAAAAACGAATATTTTTATACTGGTAGAGTCTTTTTGTCTTTATTAACAGCTCTTAACTGCATTACAGACGTTAAGAGCTAAAAAATCAACCTTTTAAACTAAAACTAAATCAAATTGCTGGTGGATTGTAAAGATTATTACTGTTAGTCTCTGTCAAAGAGCTATAACCTCGTAAAATTAATTTGGGTTTTTATGTGTGTAATTTTTAATATGCCACTTTTGAACGCTGACGTTAGACAGTGCCTTATCGGTTTTAAAACTTTACCTTAAAATATAACCACACAAAAATATTTAGTGTTCTTTTTTTAATCAGGCATACCAACCGGATAACTGCTGCTATGTATATTTTAATTTCAATGCTAGACCTACGTTTGTTTCGGTAAATAGACTCCTTATAAAACTTTCATATATGACGCCGGCTATGACTTATTCAATATAGTGTCTATAATACTATTATGTTCGGTTTACATTTCAAAAAATCCAATGAACGCCCAAATGAAAAAAATATTCGTGAATCCCCCTGCTAAACACGACTTTCGCCAACGACGCAACGAGACGCGTTAGTGCTTCCGCAGAACGTCTGGCCACACCAATAGTATCGAATGCACGAGCTGCTGCAGTGCCATCTCTAAAACGCTGGCGTTTCTCTCACCGAATGGTTTACCTTTTAAGCAATGCAAACAAATTACAGGCATACACGTAACCAGTGGCTGTCAATTGAAGCGAGAACCGGCAGCTAGGCAAACAAACAAGGCATTCCAACCGGCGAAAAAATCGATCGGACTTCCAGTGGATCAGTTGTGACGTGTGACACATCCGCGATTCGATTGACCACCAGCACACACAGATTGATTCAATTTCGATTTCGATTCGAACCAAACCAATCCGGATCTGAGTTCCCCAGAATCTGCGAAATCTGCCAGCCTGGCGGTCGCTGGAGTGTGACGTGCGACCCACGACCCGCAGATAAACACACATACACACCAGTAGATGCTGACGATTCCAGCTGGGCCCGTGCCCGATGCTGGACACGCTTGTTGGACACGGCTGCTCGACACGGGTGCTTTGCTGTAGGAGAGCCAGCCCAGGGCTTCCAATCCCACCGAATCCGATTAGCCAGCTTCACACCAATGCCTCTGCAGCGGTAGAGACGCAGCGCAGCAGACACCCACCAGCACCACCACCACCCACCAATTCCTCCCCTACAAGAAGATGCGATCGCGCAAGGTGCTTCTGGTAGTCGGCTTTCTGGTTACGTGGACCTATGCCACCTACTATCTGCTGTTGCGCCACACGGGCGTCAGCACCAGCCGGAATCAAGCGCATCAGGCCTACAAGCTCAATTCGCAGGCACGCGAGGCCAGCCAGCAGAGTCACCATTTGGCTCAGAATGTCTTCGAGTTTGTCAAAATGAAGTACCTGGAGAATCAGTCACCGTCGCCGGCCTCCACGCCCCAGATAAGCATCGTTGCCGCCGAAATATCAGCAGAGCTGCCCGAGCAGCTGGCGGCCAAGGCGCCCACGGCACGCATTCCGACGAAAACATATCTGGCCAACGGCGAGCCCGTCTTCCCAGTCCTGGTCTTCGCCTGCAATCGGGTGTCAGTGAAGAAGTGCATCGACAATCTGGTCCAGTACAGACCCAGCGTTGAGCAGTTCCCCATTATAGTGTCACAGGTAGGGATTAATTATACATTTTTAAGCCAAATGAATTTAATTTTAATTTTATGTTATAGGACTGCGGCGACGAGCCCACCAAGGAGATAATCCTCTCTTACGGCAACCAGGTTACGCTTATCGAGCAGCCTGATCTCAGCGACATCACCGTGCTGCCTAAAGAGAAGAAGTTCAAGGGCTACTACAAGATAGCCCGACACTACGGCTGGGCATTGAACACCACCTTCGGCGTGGGCTTCGAGTTCGTCATCATAGTCGAGGACGATCTGAACGTGGCGCCAGACTTTTTTGAGTACTTCCTGGGGACGCATAAGCTGCTCAAACAGGACTCCAGCCTGTGGTGCGTTTCTGCCTGGAACGACAACGGCAAGGCTGCCGTAGTGGATGCAGCGCAGCCGGAGCTGCTCTACCGCACCGACTTCTTTCCCGGTCTCGGCTGGATGCTCACCAAAGAGCTGTGGGGCGAGCTGTCGGTCAAATGGCCCAAATCGTGAGTTGGGCAATTATGCCATTTGCTAGCAGATCGCTAATTGCCCGTTAACTGTTCTAGCTTCTGGGATGATTGGATACGTCATCCGGCCCAGCGCAAAGATCGCGTGTGCATAAGGCCCGAAATATCGCGCACTCGCACGTTTGGAAAAATAGGCGTATCCAAGTAAGAGATAACGAGCACAAATTGGAACAAAATGCTGTAATTTATCTAATGGGATTTTGAATCATTTTTTTTACAGCGGTTTGTTCTTTGATAAGTATCTAAAGCACATTAAGCTCAGCGAGGACTTCGTGCAGTTCACGAAAATCAATATGAGCTACTTGCTGAAGGTAAGTAACATAGTGCACTATTGCTTGACCATGATAATTACTATTTCCTATTCAGGACAATTACGATAACACGTTTCTGCGACGCGTATACACGTATCCCATTGTTACGTACGATGAACTGCGTCGAAACCTCATCAGGTGAGTTTTTGTTTTGTTAGTTATTTACAGGATAGCTCTGGGTAGTTACTTCCTGAAAATGGCTATATCAATTTTATATTTTTTAGCTTTCTAAAAAGCTATGACTCAGTCGAATTCTATGTTTCAGAGAGATAACACACAGAAACAAACTGTAGTATGAGATATTTTGTTAGCTTGAAGCAACTTTGATAAGGAGAGCTCAATTCAAAATAAAATGCTTACATCCGTTTATTTCATTGCAGAATTGAAGGACCAGTTCGCATCCAATACACTACTAGGGAGCAATACAAGCGGACAACCAAGATGCTGGGGCTGATGGATGACTTTAAGGTAAATTAATGGAACTCTTTGGTTGCAATCATTCTTAATACTTGAGCCCTTCTTAATCCTTACAGAGCGGTGTTCCTCGAACTGCCTACCATGGCATCGTCTCCTTCTACTACAACAAACGGCGCGTGCACTTGGCACCGAATGCCAACTGGAAGGGCTATGAGCTCTCTTGGAGCTAACGACGCTAAAGCCTGAACATCGCCAACTCCACCTCCTCTACCACACAGCTAGCTCGTGTGCTTGTAATACCAAAAAATAGCCCTATGAATATTTTATTTTTGTTTGACCAATTAGCTAAGTTGTAACTATGGAATCTCCTCGAACAGCAATTGCTGTTTATTGCCATCGCGACGGGCGGGGAGTTTGGAGATCGACTCTTTGAGCAGTCATTGGTTTCATCGAACTCCCTAACCTGCGGCCTACTGTTGGCGTAACAAAATCAAATCAAATGAGTCTCCACTATGTATAGTAGTTAACCGAACTGTGTGTGTGGCAAGAGCCCAAAAGTGTTCCATTCTAGCACGCCACACAAGCAACGCAATGAATTGTAAATAAGTCAGTGTCGTTCGCTTTTGTTACAGCTCTCTAAATCTCTCAATTTACCATGTTAAATTGCATATAGTTATAGCAATGGTTAAGTTATGGTATTCAGCATGTAACTCTTAGCATTTAAGTTGATCCATCTCGAGTTCTAACGCTAACGGACGTGTAATATTTGTGATTTGTGATTTTTAATTAATTAATTTACATTTATTAATTGTTGAGAGCCAGTCAGTAAACGATACCCGACCCACAATGTAACATAGAATAGCAATAACTAGCGCTAGAACTAGAACTAGGACGAGAACTAGACCAGTGTTGGGCCACAAGGGGTGAGCCAATAATCCCGGGCAGGTCTGAAAGTGTGCCACTCTCAGCTAGTTGTAATGGAATCTACACAGACGAGACATGTACTCTACCCCCTATGACTACCCTTTGTATGAGCATATTTTTGTGTGTGAGAGACGTACGGAACATAAATTCTAAAGATTAAACCATGTATGTAGTTTTACTCCACAGCTGGTTGATCCTCATCCTCGTCCAGCTGCTCGCAGTCAATGTCGCTGCACTCGGACTCTGATTGCGTGGGTCTTCGGCTCCTTTGGGCTTGATTTAATCCGTCATGGCCGTAGGATGTCGCTACTCCACCGGCTGGAGTGTTCCGTTGCTGTAGAAAGTTGGCATTCGCATCCCCGAAGACGCGTTCCAGTTCGGCCAAACCATTGGAGGACCCGCTTTCCGTTTCCGGCGGCAATGTGGCGTACTTCATCTGCAGATAGGCCTCGTTTGGTGGCAGGGAGGCAGCATAATCCACATAGCTGCCCGCGTACGACTTGCAACGAGGGATGTAGCTGGTTGAGTGGACTCCTCCCGCCGGTGGCTTGGCCACTCCAAAGGGCAGAGCAAAGTTCAAAGGCTGTCCGCGTGCCAGTATTGCATTGCGGGCACTCTCCATCACACTGGGTCCCGGTAGAGGAGGCATTCCGCCACTCGTCGGATACGGACGCATGGGTGAACCGGTAGCCGCCGCCGATGGCATGGGTGCAGCCGATCCGCTTCCGTTCAGCATGATGGACTGAATGGGCGTGGGACCCGTTGGCGTTTGGCTGAAGAGCCACAGCCGATCTCCAACCACCATTGGTCTGGCCAATCCTCCGATTCCCAGCTGGGCGTAATAGTGCGAGGCCAGCGTCTCCACGTCTGAGGTGTACTTGCGCTTCCACTTGGTCCGGCGGTTCTGGAACCAGATCTTTATCTATGTTGGGGGTACAACAGGTAAATACATTTTAAAACACCAGACAAGGCAGAAGTTTTTTGATTACATTTAAAAATTGTTTAGTGAATATAAATTTAGTGAATATAATTTAGTTAATGAACCTATTAAAACTTAACTGTTTTTAACTGTAAAGAAAAAATGGTTCGTAGAACCAAACGGACTTATTTTCCTTTATGATCCACATGTTACTTTTTGAATTCGCTCATATCTAATTAATTAAAAAACTGCTATAATCGAACTATTATACCTTAGGACCGTTTTTTCGCCCGTATGATTAACTAAAGGTAGGTTTCAAACTCAAATTTTGTTTACGTTTAAAAAAGATACTTTTAGTTTACCATGCGAAAGATAAAACTGTGGTTAAAGTTACAAATCGTAATAAACATTTTTTTTGTTTTATTAAAATTTAGATTAATATTTTTCAATTGATCAGAACTGAATATTTTCAAGTATTTTTTAGTGATTTTCATTGGTTTTGTTTCAATAATATCTGCTATAGCAATGAGAATACATTATAATATTAATCAGACGAACTAAAAACAAAGTAGAATGGGATAGATACCTTCTTCAAGATACCTTACTTTATTTTACTGGACTTATTGTTTTTGCTTTTTTAAAGGATCCCATTCCTCACCTGCGTTTCTGTGAGTTGGAGCTGCTTGGCAAGTGCTGTTCGCTTTGCCACCGAAAGATACTTTCCCCTCTCGAACTCGGTTTCCAGGGCTTTGATTTGGGCTGCCGAAAAGGCGGTTCTCGGACGCTTCTTGCGGTCATCCCCGAGGCCTGCAACGGAATAAAATGGGGAATTGAAATCTCTAAAAAAAGGGAATCGAAATGAGACATTTCTTTAAAAAAAAGGGAATCGAAATTAGACATTTATTGCTACCGACAGCGGCCATTCCCGAGAGCGGTGCCAACTATTCTCGCCTAATTGTAATTTGTCGATCCGCTGGCAAGGTTGCATCTACAATCCCCCATCCCCAAAAACCCCTTTGAATAAGCATGTGCATATCAAAAAGTTGCATTTCACTTAGCCAAGGCGTCTAATTGGCCATTTTGCCGTACATTCTCTTGCCTGACCGAAAACAAATTGTCATATAAATTCCTTCTTTACGGGTGGAAGCTTTCCTTTGATACTGCGACGGTTCTTTGTTTGCTTTTGACATTTGCATCATTAGTCGACTGCGTTGGGGTGCGAAAAATGAAGGTAAATGGATGGCTATTCTCTGTCACCCGAAAAGCTAATTTCTGATCATTTGTTTCTCGATCGCACAGATGACAGATGAGATCATTCAGCCGTAAACACTCGATCATTCAGGTGGGAGGCTCGTGGTACTCATGGTACCAAATTAACGATTCGTCTTCGGGTCATTTCTACTTAGAACTGAATCTTTCTTTGATATTTTTTCTCCTCTTTTAATTTCAAGATTTTGGGTGTACAAATGTTTTATCTATATGAAACAAAAATAATTTTGCATAATCTTATTAGTTCATTTCATGGTGTTCATAATTTTAGCTGTTAAAGAAATTAATTCCAAACCAAAATGATTAGTTTGTGGTATTGAAAAAGATTTCTGTGTCAAAAAAAACATTTTTGGGAACAAATATTAGAAAAGGTACATACTTATTTGTACTTATTTAAACAATATAACTGAAGAGCTTTTTAAAAATGTTCTATTTGTATAGCCGTCTACATTTCTTGTGTGTTTGAAGTTGAATCATTTAATAACGTAAATGGTTTTGAGATGATACATGGACATGGCTAGATTAGCTATTATATTAATATTAATTATATTGATTTAATCGGGTAGCTAACTATAATAAGAGGTATTTAAAAATACCAAGTAATTTCCGTATGTCATGATCGTTACCGCAGTTTATACCTCAAATCATTAAGTAACAATCGGACGTTTTTTAGTTTTCCAACAAAAACGCCTTTTCTCCCTTGCATTTGCCTGGAGTTTTAGAAAACTTTTAGGGTCATTAAAAAATTATTCAGGATTCGTAGTGTTAAAACTTTAATTTACATTCAGGTAAATTTAACGTAATGAATATGAAGCCATTATCACACCTTTACTTTATGCCCTTTGCTAGGCTATCTTTTTAGCACATCAATTATACGCACCGTTTCCATCATCCGAGGCCAAATCGATATCACTTTTGCCGTCATCCAAGTTATCCTCCAAGCAACTCGATGTGGCTGGACTCGAAACACGCGAAGCACCACCACATAAGCCACCGCGACCACTTTCATCCTGCGCCGATTCCGGAAAGGAGGAATCGGAGCTACGCATTTCCGGCTTGGCCAGGATTTGTTCGATGGAGAAACTGTGTGGATAACGACGCACCGCCGATTGCGAATTCATCATTTTACTGATTTAATACGATTTTGGGATCGGTATATAGATTCCAGATGCTCTTGAAACCGTATCGGAATTTTATCCCGCAGACAACAGCGCGCGTCGAGATCTTACGGAAAACTAATTTGAATATTCGGAGCATCCTGCTCACTGGCCGATTTTTCAAGATGATCGCCTGGCTGGGCGGAGCCTATGTTGAATACTTTATACGGCCGGTCCTCAAGACAGAAAGAAACGGAAACATATTCCCCTCACAAATTGGTTTATTTTTAAAACATGTGTGAAATTGTGGCGAGGAGGGCGTGGCTCTCGTTCGTCTTCGTCTGCAGTATTTTCGATTTCGTTTTTTTTTGCCGCGCTGCCTGTGATTAAAAGTCATAATTTTTGGCTAATTGTCTACAAGTAGCGCTATTTAATATTTCAATGGCTTGCTAAATATTTTTAATACGTTTGCCAACATATTTCATTCATTTGATTAATGAGCAACCGACCAATATTTGGCGACTGGATTTGGTTTCAGTGCATTGGTGTGCGGGCACGTGTCCTCCCATGAGATAATTTATATTTCTACAAATAACTCAGTTTTTAAAAATGTATGAAAATAAATTTATTATTTTTTTCTTCTTGATTTATGTAAGGTAGCATTTTTTAACTAAATGCTAAGACAGTTGAAACTATTTTAAATCATTTTGTTTCGATTTTTAGTATTAAATGTATTTTGGTATTTTTGTATCCGAACACCTTGACCTCTATATATTTTTTTAGGTAAAGCTCCTTGAAACAGGCGAAAGAAAGATTAATTTGCTACAAAATTAAAAATACTTAAAAAATGTGTTTTGAAACCGTCAACCATTGATGGTGTTCCAAATTCAGTATCTTATTATATTACATATATTATACTTATCTATCTACCTGTCTATCTATCTATCTATCTATCTATCTATCTATCTATCTATCTATCTATCTATCTATCTATCTATCTATCTATCTATCTATCTATCTATCTATCTATCTATCTATCTATATATCTATCTACCTTTCTATATATCTATCTTTCTATCTATCTATCTACCTACCTACCTACCCATCTATCTATCCATCTATCTACCTATCTACCTATCTATCTATCTATCCATCTATCTATCCATCTATCTATCGCCATATCTTTTCTATTTAATATAATTTTTCTGTGCTTTTTTCCCTGCGAATGGATAAAGAAAATATTTAAAAGTGCTTTCCTTGACTGTACAATCCCAATATACCGAGCCCCCTGTAAAACTTTCATTAATTCGAAATTATGAACACATAATTCAGACAGAATGTGCTGGGGAATGGAAAAGGGGGCAATCAAGATCCGAGTGGAGGGGAGGATCTGAGAAATTAGCCGTCGGCATGGGCGACACTAGTTTCCAATTGGCCAGCGGCCAACTCCACGTCATTTACTATGCTACAGGGTGCCATGGATGCCTGGATGGCCGTGTGATAACGTCTTCATTATTCATGCGCGATTTGAACAAAATATGTGAAAACACGTTAATTAGTCGCCAAGATGCGAGAGCGAAAGGGCAAAAGGCGAGGACGAATCGCAGCTTCGCATCCATTTAGCCGGCCGAGCTGTCAGTTTGATTTAATTTAATGAGAATACTGGCGGGGACAGGATTCGAGGGGATTTGGATCTGCCTTATGAGGCCGCATGCCCGAGTGTCGCGGGCACTCAAATCAAAATGACAACTTAATTTTCATAATTGCGCTTAATGAATATTCGACTATTGCTTGCCATATTTCAAATTCCACTGCCAGACAGAGGGCAGACTTTGTTTCGACTCTGGCATTTCGAATCATTTACCAATCTGTTGGCTATTTCTTATACCATTTCCATGTTGGGCTTATGAAATTCAGTTGAAGCGGAGCGCTTTATTATTCTTTTTAAACCAGTGTTCTGATAATATAAATGAAGATCATAAAGATCTATACATTTTAATAATCATTTTATCCGGTTTAGAAAAAATATATAAAATTTAAAAAAAATGGAGCCGGCATACAGCATTTGAAAGGTCCTCAAAACTCCCCAACTATGTTTTTTGGTGCTGACTTTATTATTAATATTTGTATTAAGTATTGAAAGTTATAATCCTACCACAAGCTAAAAAACTTATAGTTGTAGCACTGGTTACAATAATATATCCTAGAATGTCAAACCAATTAGACAGTACATTATTTCCTTATATAAATGAATACCTATTATTGTGGTTGGTATGGAAACATTTATTTAATATGTACGTAAAGATCAAATTATCTTTCTAAAACAGTATGAAAAAACTGTATAATTAACAAAATAGTTAGATTTACTTAGTTTTACAGAAATGTTCAGTTTATGATTTCACTGACTTCACTGCGTTATAAAAATGAAATGATGATCAGAAGCAATTTTTTTCTGCCTTAGGATGACATGCTATATTTGAAATTCCACTGAGGACTTTGTTTTGACTCTGGCATTCCGAATTAATTAGAGATCGGTTGGCCTTTTGGCCGGTTATTGCATAAGACCCCCAAAAATCCTTAAGCTAACCAGATGAGCTCGTTTGATGATCGCATTTAACGTTAAATGGAGCGCTGCAGCGTCAGAATTTAATTAATAACCGAGCATGCATCTTCATTATAAATCATCACTTCTCGAGTGTTTGTCAGGCGCACGCAGCATAAATCACGGCGGAGTCCCGGGCGGAGTTGCACTAGCAGTCGCGTGGAACAGTCCGTCCTCCGGGCCGTAATGCCAATGTTTTTTGTCCCCTCTTTTTGTCATCGCATCCAGCTAATGATGCATCAAGTCCTGCGGGGTGTTAGCTACATCTAACTTGGGTCTCGCTGGCACATCGATCATTGGGCTGCTCCGGCCAAACATCTGTAGCTGTATCTGCGACACTCCCACGCCATTGTATCTCGGATATTCCTGGGGTTTCCGATTACGTCAAAGGTGACGTTGGACGCACCACCAAGGGATTCCTTTGCGGCCGAGCATTGAACTCTTTGGGAAATTGTATCCTGATTAATTCCTTGGGCTGTCTATTTGTTTGCCTCGAAGCTAATTTGTGTAAAACCTAATACAGCAAGTTATAATGAAGAAAGATGACCCTAGAATTTTTGAGGATCGAGAAGAAAGCATCAAACATCATTTGTGATTAATATTGTATGGTATTTAAAATGAAAAGTAAAAAATATATTATACTTACAATATAGAAAATAAAATTAAAGATTTTTTTCTTTTTTTTTAAACTATTTTTTTAACGATCTATACTCCTGATCTCATCAATATATTTAAATAAAATTAGAGCTGCATAATTTAAATATTTATTTTAAACTTGTATATTTGCTGTTTTTATAATTTGCAATCATTATCATCATTCTTCAGAATTTAAATGAAGTAAGGGGGACATCCGTTACTGCGGAAATCCAACATAATCGTGTACAGATTGCATTATCCTTCCAGAAGTCTGCAATAAATATCAGTCATGAATCTTCACCTCTCCACCCAAAGTATGCTGTTAATTTCATTCATAAAAACTTCTTCGGGCAAAGGAAACCATCCAAAAGCAGACCAGCCTACGCTTTATAAACTGACAGATATAAATAATAATTAAGAAAAAATGAGAGAGAATGAACTGCATATTATTAATTTAATGTGCGCCTCGTTTCGAATTCGGAGTTCGGGAATGGGATGAGATGGTATGTGAGTTCCCGGTCCTCGGTGGAGAGCTCTTTTCTGGGAAACATGCTTGGGGAGGAGCTCGAGGAGTAAAAGGCGTCATTCCGTGCTGTGTTTATGTCTCAGGCGAGCAGACAAGACTCATAAATTACAACCAATTATCAAATTAGATTTTTACAAAACATGCAGCTTAAATCATATAGGAGTGTTTCGCTTTTTACGACATGATCTTCTCGGATTTCCGTGCTTTTTTTTATCGGTTTTTTCACGGGTTGAATGGGATTTTTATTTGTGTTTTTTTTTTTTATTTTGTTTGGATCAAATGCAGAATCAATTTGGATTCATGGGCTGCTGATGGCGACAATTAAAGAAAAGCTGTGCAATCGACGAAAATTAGCAGACAATGTGAGCCCTGACAACCGCGGGCAATTAATTTGGTGTAATTACTCAGGGCTGAGTGACAGATCTGGAGACTGCATCTTCTGGCTGAATTTGTATCTCGAGCGTGCGGAGTGCTCTGTGTTGCCACCTCAACGCATCGATGGGATTCTCCTCGATCTCCAACAATTGCGCCGGCATTTTAATGAGCCCAATGGAAACGGGAACGGAGGCATCTCCCCTCGAATGGCGGAAAATTGCCCCCATCCCAAGGAAAAGGGGTGCAGATCCTCTAGTGATTCTACTAATTGACATCGGCAGTCTGGTCTGTGATATCAAACAGTTTCACGCACAAATTGAAACTGATAATTGCTCTGGGCAGATTTATGGGACTAAGTGATGAGCATATGTTTTAATTAATTTCCAAGAAATTATTTAAATGTAAAAATGCTAAAATCTCTGATCGATTAGGTAAACCCGGTAATTCCAGTGCTTGACGTGCTTCTCTATGGTAATTATGACAAATGTCTAACCCGAACATGAGCCCTCCTAATACTCATAATACCACAAACATTCTATATAGTGGATGGGGGGATACCGATCCCCCTCTTTCCATTTTTGTGGCCACATCTGCATGACATTTTTTTTTGCTGTTGTCTTGTTTTGGGGCTCGCGACATTTTCTCGAGACGCCGCCATTCGAGGGAGATTAATGCGGTGAGGAAAATCATAAATTAATTAGAAGCGCTCTCGTCCAGCCTGGAGGGAAATCGGTCTTTTGGAGATGCCGGATAGAGATGGAGCTGCAGATGCCTATTGGTGACATTTAGCGGCAATTTATTGTCATTAGGGGAGATGGAGGGTCGAAATGAACTACAGGTGTTGGCACAGAATCGCTTAATTAGCCTTTATTATTAGCTACGATGTGGCAACTAAGTGGGCAAATGTGGGAGAAACATCGGCTTGGAGGCTTAAATAAATCTGGTTCCCCAACTCCTATGACTTCTCTGACTTCCTGTTTGAAAGTTGGCGCCTAATGCCGACGTTTAAGGACAATTAGCGACACGCCTTTTGGCGCCAGCCAGCATGGAATTCCGGATAGTTTTTGGGGGCATGTATGTGGGTTCCTGAAATCGGGATATGAACCAGGGGCAGGTTCAGAAAATTCCACACTGTCGACAGTGTGTCGCGACTAGAACATCCTGCCGATTTAGGTCTAGGATAGAGATATACAAGTGATCATGTTAAAGATATCACAGGAGTATTTGAAAATTAAAAATTCTTCAAATTTAAAATTTATTTTAATGCCTATTAAAGTCATAATTTAATTATTAGTAAATAATTGATCTTACATATCTTTATTATTGATTCATAAATATCTTATTCTATGATTTTGAAGCTTCCCTGATAATATTAGGATAATTAAATGTAGTGGAGGATCCAGAATTTGGTTGTGGGCGGGGATATCAAACAAAATTTGTTAAGTAGAAATCAAAATACATTCTTTAATTATAATACTATATTCATATTTTTTTGATTTTGCTTTTTAAACCTAGAGGGGGGATTTGCATTTGCATTTGCTTATTATTGATTATTATTTGGTGTGAATTTGGTAATGAATGATCCGATTTGAATAATTTTTTGCATGTAGATGGGTATTGATAATGAGAAATCTCATTTAAATTTTTACAAAATATATAAAAATGCGTGCGGGTTTTAACGATATGGGAGTTTGTGGCGTTGGAGTGGGGGAAGCACCCTGCTAAACCAAATTTGCGCTACGCAGGAAGCCCAAGAATCTGCATTCTTAGTCCCAACATTCTAGCTCCATAGTTTCGGAGATCTCAGCGTTCATACGGACAGACGGACAGAAAACTATGGTTTCATCGACTCGGCTAGTGATCCTGATCAAGAATATATATACGTTTACGTGTTACATACTTCCCGACGAATCTAGTATACCCTTTTACTCTTCGAGTAACGTGTATAAATAAGCCGTTCCTCCAAGGGCTGCCAGACTGTCCAGTGGTTATTTAAATTCTCCCGCCCCGTTTGAATTCGCCTCGCTTAAATTCGCCGCACTCGGAATTTTCGGCGTTCCCTAGCGCCCTCTATGCGGCTGTTGAAGCGAACTACTATCGAACTACTTTACAACACTGAAATTGCCACCAAACGTTTTATCTCAGCTGTTTCTCCCTGACTTTGTTTACACTTTGCGAGTTTATTAACATTTAAACAACGTTAAACCATAAATAAAATGGCCTCTGCGACCAGTTCAAGTGCTCGACATTTATTCGACGATTCCAAGAAGCGATTGTGTGCCCGTGTGGGCGTAAATGTGAATAATTTGGGTGAGTTCTTGATGGTTACTCCAAATAAATCGATACTATTGTGAGACATTGAATATTTCCAGGATCTGTTGCCCGTCAGGTTGTTAGGGGTTCCAAGAGCAACGAGGTGAGCTATAACTTGTAATGCCTACGATGGCCCAAATTGAGATATCAATTCCACCCACAGATCATGCATCAAACCCTGAAGAACTTCACCCAAGTGGACGTGGTCTCGGATTACAGCCACCAGAATCTGCAGAAGATGACGCTGATCCTGCAGCACGTGGGCTACCAGTACGATGTGATGCAGGATAGTGTCAACCACTTGGATTACCTCAAGGAGCAGGTGACGGCCATGGAAAGATGATTGGAAGAGCAAAAGCCTAGACACTAGCAGCAATCCCGACCTCCACCACCCGTTTAATTTGTCCAAAGAGCCATATCCATTCATAAATATCCATAAATGCCAAGAAAAGATAGCCGGAGAAGGTCAAGGGCCACTAGAAGAGTTGGGTGCGGTGATAAGATAAGCCACCTGCCCTGGAGTTCCCTTATAAAAGAGCTGAATGGCCTAAGATACCATCGCAGTTGGCAACTTGAAGACGATATGATGAGTTCGGAACTTAGACTTTTAATAACTTTTTGGCTTATCTGGACGACAGCCGCCCAGAACTCTACAGATGGTGGTCAGGATGGCCGGATTGTCGGCGGCTGGGAGACGCGCATCACCTTCTTCCCGCACCAAGTATCCCTGCAGTTGGGCACTCGCCACGCCTGCGGTGGAACCATCCTTTCGCACACCATCATCCTAACAGCTGCCCACTGTGTGCTGGAGTACAGCAAACCTCAATATTATGCGGTCCGAGCCGGTTCCACTGATTGGTCCAACGGAGGCAGCTATATCCGAATCCAACGCATTATACCGCACCCCAAGTTCCATGTGCCAACGAGGATGAATAACGATATTGCTATTGTTCAACTACAGCAACCCCTAGTCTACAGTCGGGAAATTCAACCCATAAGCCTGGCCAGCAGTCTGGACCAGATTAAGCCGACAGCCCAGCTTTTTGTCAGCGGATGGGGCAGTACGGCGATCACGCAGGTGCAGTCGGAGAAGCGTCTTCGTTACACAGTTGTCCAGCAAATGGATCAGTATCAGTGTGCCAGAAACTATTTTGCAGCTGGCACTGTGACCAACACCATGTTCTGTGCGGGAACTCAGATGGGGGGTAGAGACAGCTGCCAGGGAGATTCTGGAGGACCGCTAGTCACCTCCATCACTGGCCAAATGAAACTCTACGGCATTGTGTCCTGGGGTTATGGCTGCGCAAACGCCATGTTTCCTGGAGTTTACACTAAGGTTTCCGCATATGGTGACTGGATAGCGCAGACAACGGGCGAGCTAGGTCTAGCTTAATTTTTCCTATAAACTAATTCTTTACTACTTATAAATAATAGACAAAATCACAGATATTCTTAAGTTATCACGTATTAATAAGACTAACCTTCTATGTAAATTACCTTTTCAATCGCTATAACTTGCTAATTCTCAAGCTTAGATGACTAACCGAAAACATAAAATATTACTTATCGAACAACAATTTGTTAATTTAATTTTAACGCCAAATTACCTTGTTTATGAATGCAAAATGTAAAAACAAGTTTTGGGATCGTGGCTGTGGCTGGCTTAGCCGATCGTAGTCGCATATAAAATGCGCATCTCGGCGGGCCAAATACCAGTTTTTGGCTCTCTCGAACTGCGAATTCCGAAGTATTATCCAAGTCGCCGTCAGTTACCAATCGCAGCTTGAGTTGAGAGGCAACAATACCCAGTCATGAAGCAGTTTATAGTTTTGGTAAGTGATCGATTGCCTCGGCACTACATCGGATATTACTCAACTATAACTCTTCCTGTTTCCATGTCAAGGTCGTTTGTTTGTTGGGAGCCAGCACAGCTGATGTATCCCACCTGGTCACGCCGGAACCGAAGGTTCCAGCTAGTCCGTATGTGTTTAGCTACCAGGCTGGCCGAGCTCCCGGACATGTGGATCGCCAGCACACAGAGGTATCCGACGGATCGGGTGTCATTCGCGGAGCTTTCTCCTATGTGGATCCCAAGAACCAGGTTCGCACCGTCCAGTATGTGGCTGATGAGAATGGCTTCCATCCTCAACTGAGCCACAAACTGGAGGACAGTGCCGCCGTCCAGGCTGCTAAGAGAAGGCATTTCGAGGCCTACAATCGAATTGCGCAAGAGCATGCTAGTCACACACCAGGCCAAGCAGTGAGTATTCCGTGGGCAGGTGTGGCTCCAAATAGTGTGCAATGATGGCATTGTTTTCCGTTCCCAGGCACTAGCTAACGCTCCGCATGCCAGCGCCGCCGTGGCCCATGCCACCCAGAAGCACTTGAGCGCCTTCGAGCGGATCGCAGCCGAGCACGCGGCTATTGGACGCCAGCAGGAGGCACAGCGTCTGGCACTGGCCGCCCAATCCGAGCATGGAGATATCGAAGATGGTCAGTACCACCCGTAAAAGGTGCTGTGGCCCAGCAGCCAACTGTACGACATGAAAATAAAAAGGAACTTTCAAGAACCACCTACTATTTGTTAATATGTTTTATAATTTGTAAAGTCGTAATGGGATAGAATATCTTAAAGAGCAATTAGGCAAATTGTCTGATTTTTTATTATCTCCAATATGGCTTTGTTTTAAACAAAACATGCAAAATATATATATAGTTTAAATCAGATTTTTGTAATTGAGTGCCTTCTTTTGTGTTAAATACATATTGTTTAGATAGCTTGACGTCCATTAATTATAAATAATTAATACAGTTGAATGTTATTTGCCTTTAGAAAGTAGTTCCCTATGACACCTTCAACTAGTTAGATGGTTGGAAAAAATGGTCGAAGTCTTTCGAATTATTGGGCTCCTCTTTTTGGTATTCCACTTTGTAAGTAGGTTGATTATTAATCAATGGTTCTATAAACTCTAAACTTGAAGCTTTTTTATCACTAGAGTTATTCTGAGTATATGGATCCATGCCCTCATCATAATGGATTTTCACAAGACGAAGCAGAGGCAGTATTAAAAGATTGGCCCGGCAATCTTAACTTGGCCAAGGTTAATAGGTCCCACAAGTGTCATGTGACATGCATTTTGATGTATTTCGATATAATTGGTACCTCCGGAGAGGTTACTCTTGACAAATATTTCGACTCTGGTGTTATTGATGAGTTTGCGTTTGCACCAACATTGTTGCGATGTCGTTATGAGTATAGAGAAGAAACTGATTTTTGTGAGCATACTTTCGGTATTTTCAACTGTTTCAGGCAGGAGAAATTACTAAGCACAAAAAAATAATTATAAAATCCGTAAAAATTATATTTTGTATCTAAATTGAAGTTAAACATTTCAATAACTTGTTTTTTAAATTCAATGGCAGTGGCACCTTAGAAAAGGATTGTATTGATGGTAGGATAGTTTAAGGCTTTCTTAGTTTATTCTTAATAAATTCTTTTTGGATAAAGGGACTCTGAGGAAGTATGTTTTAAAGTACAAATACATAATATAGTACTTAAACTAACAAGAAGAATATTATAAAAAGAACATGCAACGGCTCAGAGATTTTTTCATTACATTCTCTATAATAACGAATCAGAATCAGATATTTTTGATTGAGCACTTTCTTTTGTATAAAATGTGAATTGTTTTAATTATTTGGGAATAATTATTTAAAATATGGTAATACTTTTTCATTATAAAAGTAGAGTGTAATTTGCTTTTGGTATAAAGTTCCGTGTTGCCCTTAACAAGTTTAATGTCAGTCTCTATTTGGATTACATTTCTGTTGGGATTTCAGTTAGTAAGTATTCAGCTTTAATTATATAAAAAGTTAGAGCACCAAGATTTTTTCGACAGGCTAACGCTAAGTACATCCATCCATGCTACCTTAATAATGCAATGTTGGGATTTGTAGCAGAAGAGGAAGCAGATGGAGTGTTCAAAGATTGGCCGGCCAATCTTAATTTGGCCAGCGTTAATAGGACCCATAAATGTTATGTGACCTGCATATTTTATCTTTATAATCTAATTTCACCCTCTGGAGACGTTACTTTGGAAAAATACTTCAATTCCGGGATCATTGATGAGATTGCGTTTGCACCAACATTGAATCGATGCCGCGATGAGTACAAAAATGAGACCGATTTTTGTGAGCATATTTTCGGAATGTTCAATTGCTTTAGGCAGGAAATATTACTGAATAGAATTAAATAATAAATGTTACACAATGAATGGTACCGAGAACAGAAATTTTATAAACTATATATTTTATAAACAACTATAGCTGTAGTTGGTAACTAATTGGTTGGGTCCTCGATTGTTAAGCTATTACAAGTTTACATCAGATATTTTAAATTTAATTGAATTCTTTTGTATGAAGTATATACTATTGAAATGTTATGCAAACGTTTTTATAATAAAAGTAGAGTGCCAGTTGATTTTAGTGTACAGTTTCCTATGATATCTTCACCTAGTTCAATGCTTGAAAAAAATGTCACTAAGACCCGCCTTATATGGCTAATCCTTTTGTTAGGATTTCAGTTTGTAAGTATACAATTTATAAAATATTTTGAAAGCTTAAACTTCATACTCATATTTTGACAGAGTCATTCAGAGTTTATCCATCCGTGTACCCAACATAATGGGATAACAGAAGAGCTAGCATATGAAGTGTTGAAGGACTGGCCCGGCAATCTAAACTTAGCCAGCGTTAATAGAACCCACAAGTGTTTTGTGACCTGTATTTTTTTATATTATCATATTGTAACCAGCTCTGGAGAACTTAGCCTAGACAAATTCTATAACTCTGGGGTTATTGATCCTCGTTCGATTGCACCAACATTACGACGATGCCTCTATGAGTATCGACAAGAGACCGATTACTGTGAGCATACTTTCAGTTTGTTCAACTGTTTTAGGCAGGAGCAGCTAATTAAGACACACGGTACCTTTAATAAATGAATAAGCCTATGGTTAATTTACAGTAATCACTCCAAAGACATCAGAGTAATATATACTTAAGTTAAAAAAAGTATATGAAATATTTATAATGATGTCAAAAGTTGTGAGACCTGATTATCGTTATAAGTTGTTCCTTTAAACAATTTTTTTCGACTAAAGTACTCTCTTACCGTCTTAGAAATTCTCATGCCCAATATATTCGTATTCAGAAAAATCGAGTATTACATCCAATGAAAAATTTGTTGTAATTGCAGTTTATTAATCTATTAAACAAAATTATTTTGATATCCAATAGTTTAATTTCTGAAGTTTGAGATTTTAAAGTGATATTGTAAAGGGCTTCCTTTTTATTAAGAGATATTTTTAATTATTCATTTAAAAATCAAATCTAAGATTTAATTACGTATCTTTTGGTTCGCTGTAATGCGAATCTCTCAATTGGCAGCAATTAAAAATGTGAATACCCATTGTGCACATATTTAATTACTTGACATTTGATTGTTATAAAAACGGGAATTGGGAGTTTCTCTATTAATATAGAAAGTATGTTGGACCGGAAAGCTCTGTACTTAATCGTAGCGTTTTTGTGTGGAACAGTTAATGTAAGATTGATTTTCTAGTCCTTAAGTCATACGATTTAATTATTCCATTCTTATCCATTTTGAAAAGAGTAATACTCCAGTTTATAATCCGTGTATACAACAAATCGAGCTAACAAAAGAAGAAGCACATCAGGTATTGGAGAACTGGCCAGACACCCCAATCGATCGCAGTTACAAGTGCTTTCTAACATGTGTCCTTCTGGACTTGGGGCTGGTTAGTAAATCAGGGGAGGTGCAGATCGATGAGTATTTAAAATCTGGTGTTGTGGACTGGAGATGGGTGGCAATGGAGTTGGTCTATTGTCGCATAGAATTCTCAGATGAAAAAGATCTGTGTGATCTTGCATTTGGACTTTGGAACTGTTTTAGAAAGGTAAAAAAAGAAGCTGATGAAAAACTGAAAAATAATTGAAAATATTCAAAATATATGACTTTTGTAAAACAATGTTGTTGTTTGTCAAAATTGAGAAACACTGTTATGTATAAACATTAATACGAAATGAATAAAATTTTAAGGGGATTATTGGGGTAGCCCATACCGCTAAGGTCGGTCTTGTGAGCAAATTTGATAATATCTTGTTTCAGTGTAAGTTTAAACAGATTTTATTGACAAAAACTTATCTACATGCCAATAATCGTACCAATCTGTATATTATTTTAGAAATTATGAGTGATTTAATTAAACTTGCTTTGCAAGGTCAGTAGTACCCTGCCTCCGATAGGTGGCGTGCCGCTCTTGTCGGTAGTGTGGGGTGGACCAATAAAAGTGATTTGGAATTTTACTTAAACTAGAGTTTGGAATATAACTTGATAGTCGAATTAGTGTTTCTTCTTGCTATTTCAATATATATAACTCGTTGATTCTTATACCAGTTGGAATACTCAAAGTTCCGATGATACAGAGCTTTCTTTCGCTTTTGTCTTTGTTTTGAAAAGCAATCGAGAGCCGGGTCCGCTCATCAGCTTTAGTTCTGTTCCGAGATTCTCTGTGATGGGTCGACTTCCGCTGTGCCTTCTGATTTTGGTGGGGGCGATTTGTTTTGGCCACGGCTACGAGGTGCCTGAGGCTCAGGTGCGCGTGTTCTATCCCAAGGGATTCGAGGTCTCTATTCCGGATGCGGAGGGTATTTCACTGTTCGCCTTTCATGGCAAACTGAACGAGGAGTTCGATGGACTGGAGGCTGGTCAATGGGCACGGGACATCCCAACAGCCAAGCGAGGACGCTGGACGTTTCGTGATCGAGAAACGAAGCTCAACCAGGGCGATACCTTGTACTTCTGGACCTTCGTGGTGTACAATGGACTAGGCTATCGCCAGGATGAAGGAGCACATGTGGTTACCAGCTATGACAACCAAAGGAGCTAAAGTAACATTTCAAACAAAGAAGCAATAAACATTTTAAGCTGAGCTTAAAGCTTGCACATATATTTGTTTATTTACAGACCTCATTTTCGGTTTTAATTCGCTCTTCTGGTTCCCGGCTGATAGCTAATCTTTTTCTTGTTACACTTAGACAAAAAAACGTTTTCGTTTTAATTTTTTCAACATTTTAAAATAACTGGGACTTTTTAGTTCTTAATATTAAAAACGTTTCAAGAAGCTTGAGCATACATTTTTTAATGACTTAACATAATGTAATCAAGTCAATTGATATTTAAATCAAAGGATTGGTATGACTTTAATGTAAATTCATATTTTATGCACTCTCTGCTCGTCGCCATCGTCCTCTGCCTCTTTTCGTTGTGGCTGTGACGTATTTAATTATTTTCGTTAGTAAAAACACTTTTATCCAATGCAAATTTATGCACTTTTAAACGCTGTAATTAATCATAAATAAAACGCGAGGCATTAATGGCGAAATGGAGCGCAGGGCACTGCAATGCGATGGTCTGAAAATTGCGTAAAATGAAGCTCGCTCTCAAACCAACCGATATAATTTGCTTTATGCACTGGACGCAATGCACGTCCTTCTATACAGTGCTGTTCATAAAAATAGTATCAGAATAAAATCATGTCCAAACTTCAACGATTTTCTCGAAGGCAAGCAGAAAGGGGACTCCACTCCACTCCACTCCTATACGAAGTGACCGAAAATATAATTTTCTAACTTTTAGGTGCTTTTTTAAAATTGTTGTGTATTTAAGCCAATAGGAGTTTGGAAAATCATCCAGTTAATTACACCCGTCACACGTAGAGTACAAGGGTATGATAGAGTCGCCGGAAAGTATGTAACAGGTAGAAGAATCTGTTCCCGACCCATAAAGTAAAATTTCCGTCTGTCCGCTGTGATCTCAGAAACTATAAAAGCTCAAATTTTGGGATTAAACATGCAGATTCTATAGATTCTCGCGCAGCGCAAGTTTATTTCGGGACCTATCGATTGACGCAAGATCGCCAAACCCACTCTATAGGCTACAAACTTCCATAAGGCTAAAATGTATCTGACGCCCACACTTTTACAAATTTTTTAAAGGTGTAAAAGGGATTTTTTTTTGTTTACCGAACTACAAAAAGTTATGAGCAAATATTGTAATCGCCGCTAGGTGGCGCCTTGCAATTTCGGAAAAAGTAGCATTGCTGCTTGCATATCTCCATCTCCGTTGTGGCACTCGACCATAGCGTATTTCCCTCTGGTTTTTGGTGTAATAATTGTTGCCAAATATTTAGCTATTGTTTCAACCGCAACTGTGTTCATACAATTACATAGGTATGTATGTATGTACTTATAGCGACCCAAAAACACATACTTGCAGTCACGCACGGTAGACATCGGGGCAAAAAGTTTCCGTGGATTTACAAGGCAAATTGATGAAGTTTTAGTTGCGGCAACTTCGCTACGTGATGTGTGCGTTACCAGACAGAGACGCACTGTCCACGGACCACGCCCCTTTTTGGTCCTATTCCCAAACTCCCATATTCCTATGGTGTCGCGCCGATGTCGTTTGGCTTGGAATGGTAGAATGGTATGAGGGTCCCCGGGTCCTTTGTGCCCGTTCGTTAGCTTTTTCTCGCTCCCGCTCGCCTCGGTGCGGTGTCTTTTTTGTAAGCAACAACAAAGCAATAGCAAATGCAATTACAACGCAACGAGCACACATTTTTTGCACTCACTGTGCGCCGAGTTGAGAGTTTGGAGCCACGCTAAATTGGTCTGGCAAATGCTTTTGGAAGTGTCCCGGCCACGCCCCCTCGTCCTTTTTTTTCGCAACCCCGGTAGCTTTATAATTTTAAGTCTTTCTGAACATTGCGTGGCAGCCGTTAAACGCTCCATTGGCGCCTTTTCCCCACGCTCACCGCCTTTTCTTTTTTTCTTTCGACCGTCGAGACTTTCTTGACCACTTTCAAAAGCGCAGAAAATCATACCATCTTGATTATGAAATAACTAATGGTTTGAAATCTGATTGGTAAGTAATAGAGGCTTCCGCAGCTATAATATTATTACATTATTATTTTTATGGGTCGGCTTTTAAAAAAGTCGGTATAAGTATTTTTATCAAACAAAAGAAATATATACTATTCAAAAATCTCAGCTTATATTTTTTATGAGTTTTTTAATTGTGAGGATCTTAGAAAAATGTAGTATGAAAAAGATAAAGTTTTGGCTCTAGGGTACATTTTTAAACATTTTCAAAAAATCATAAAAAATATAAGGAAAGAGATTTTTGAAAAATTTCAGTTGCTATAAGTTTTGGTTGGAGAATATTTTTGCATCCAAAAATTGTTGTTTTCAAGCCTAGGAAATAAGTTTAAAAAGTAAAATTTCATCGTAATTTTCAAAAACAGCTAAATGGGTTGAAAAAAGTCTTGTATCATTCAAAAGGATGCCAAAATGTACATGAAGTAAGTTCAAATTATGAGTATATTTAACTTTTGTTTCATCCAAATACTTATGCCGACTAGTGTTGGTTGATTTTTTCTTTTCCTCGAAATTTAAGCTTTGCTTATCTCTGAACATTTAATAGAAAAGGTCATACAATTCCCTGGAAAACAACAGCAGCAATGCTATATAATGCTATATATGCTATATAAGAAGCGTTTCTTCGCCGTTTTGGGTATAAAAAGAGTAATAAGCTTGCCAGACTTCAATTTGAAAATGAACACTGTCGGTGAAGTGATAGTCTTTATTTGCTTGATTCTCGGCTCTCGAGGACAATGGCTCGATGAAAACTGTGGGTCCGGGGGATCAACTAGTAGCCCCTGGCTGGCAAGCATATACATCTGGGATCAGCAGAAATGGGAAAATTATTATCATAGCAGTGGTACACTTATAAGTGATCGTGAGTATACATATATTAATTTGGTAAATTCAATTTAAAAAATTTTTTTAAATTCCAGGTTTCATCCTCACACATGCCATACCTAACACCCAACCAGGATTTATGTAAGTAATTTCCAGTGATAGGAATACATCCTTTTAACCTTGATTAACTGATTAAATCGAAGAAGTTACTTGCTACTAGTCTACTAATTACACGAAACCTTTTTAAATTACATATATAACAGATGTACTCAGTGCTTAGGTATCAAATGTATACCTATAATAAATAAAAATAGAACTATTAGGCATTATTTAATATTATTTATTGTACATTTTTATGCCATACCATATCCTATAACATATATAGCCTATTTTTTATAGTAAATCTTCTTCAACTAATCTAATTTTACTTACTTAAAATTCAGAACCGTTCGCTTGGGAGCAACCTATGATAGTGAGCCTACATCGAGATGGTACTACATAAAATCCTTGATTAATCATCCCAACTTTGAAAATAATGGAAGCCAAATCAAGAATGATATAGCTCTAATTAAGATATCTGAAAAAGTTGAGCTCAGTGGTAGTTAAATTGTAAAATTTCTTATTGTTTCTTATCAGCTTGCTAACAAAGTTTTTGTCCATAACTTTTCAGCCCACATCAGGCCAATCTGTATGTTCTACAGCAGAAGCAAAGAGCAGGAGCTACTTCTAAGGCAGGTTGCGGACTCAAATTTGGAGCTTACATTCACGGGTTGGAATGAAAGATATCGATATACAAAGCGACTAAAATCCATCCGAGTCTTCCGATTGGATCCGGAATACTGTTCAAGCTTACTAAAAATACCCCTGGAACAGAATCAAATTTGTGGTGACAGCGACTCCAATGATCTATGTTTTAGAAACAGTGGAGGCCCCTTGGAAAGAGTTATAAACAAATGGGGTAAAAATGAATCCATATTACTTGGAATTCAGAGCTATGGAGCCGGTTCATGTGGCGACCCCGAGGTGTTTACAGACATTTTGAGTCACTCAAAATGGATTTCAGGAATCGTTAGAGTTCATAAGGTTGGTCTGAATATTATTTAAATGCTATTGAATATTTTTCTATGATTTCAGTAAAACTATATACTGTTTCAAAAAAAAATTGTTTTGTAGCAAAAAAAATATTAATAAATGGCATTGAATTGAGATAGAAAACAATGTATTTTGCTTTTAAATTGACTTTAAGTTTAAAAAAGTTTGAGCTAGGGCCTTACGATTGCTTGATTTTTGACAAATTGAGAGAGTATATTTTAAAAAGATAGGGCAATATGAGACTTCTGCTGTATAAATGATACATTGGTAAAAGATAAGCAATCACTTTCTTTCGACCATTCTTTGCCCATCGAAAGTTGTGCGATTGTGTCACTTGCTGGAAAGATGGAGATCCATTATCATAGCAAGGTGCTCTTAAGGAAGCCTGTTACACACGTTTCGACGCTTAATGCCCGACACGTTTCGAGCTTTGGGGCGTGCCGAGCTGTCTGTCCGCTCCGCTGGCTGCCAATACTCGTCCGTATACATATGCATGCATTTTTTACAGTGTTTGCTGGGGCATGGCAGTGTCATAAATATTCTTTGCTGCTGCTTTATATTTTGTCCCGACAACGACAACGATGACGACTACGAGAAAGCAGTTTATCAATAATGCAAAATATTCCAGTGGATAGGGTGTGTGGGTGTGTTGGTGGCCACCTCCTGGGTCCCCATTTGGTTACCGCTCACTGGAAGAAAAGGGAAAATCCTTTCTTATATAAAAAATTTTGTTTATAAATCATGGTCCCATATTCATATTTTTGTATGTAACATATTGTTTTCAATTGTTTGATTTATCATTTTTAAGAATTGAGTTATTATATATGTTTTCAATTTATGATAGACAAATGGACCATGGACCATAATGTTTGGTAGCATAATTATTTTTAAAAGCCAGTTCTTATCTACCCAATGTGAGGTGCCCCAATTATATATAATGTTACCAAAAATACAACAGTACCATAAATCTAGTTATATGATTAATACTTTGATGGACAGACAGCAGATTTTTAGTTTACAAGAAGGGATTTTAAACCAACTTGTATTCCAATTGCTATTATATTAAGAAGGATAAATTATTGTGTGATCTCTTTTTAATTCCCTTTTCTCGTTATGATTTATTCCTTTGCTAAGGCTAATAAATACTAAAATTATATCCTCGATTGGAGGACGATTTCTCATCCAGTGTAGTTGTTGGCACTGGTGTTGCCCAGCGAAGCGGCATAAGCTGCTTGGGCAACATCCCTAAAGCTCCACGGCCTTCGATGCCATTCCGATGCAGAGTAGTCCCCAGTGACAGCGGCAAGGAGCAATAGGAGCCACGAGGAGGTGGCCACGAGGAGGTGGCCATGAGGAGCAGCCAGGAGCGGTAAGGAACACCAAGGAGCAGCATCGAACAGAGGGACCAGAAAGGAGCTGTCGAGCCAGCCGCTGCACTCTGCGAGAATGTTTGTCGATTTGACTACGATTGCGGAAACGTATACAGTTCGTTGATCATTATCCGGTTCGTGATGCCCTCGTTTGCCGGCGACGTGATGCAGCTTTCCGTAGTTGAACGCTCCCCATTGAACTTATTACCCAGACAGTTTGTTGCGAGTGGGTATCTGGATCGGGTCCTGGTTTTGGTCCTGGTTCTGGGTTCTGGGTGTTCTGCCGAATATGCATCGACAAGTAAAACACATTTCACCGGGCAAACGGCTGCCTGGTTTATGTTTTGCATTAGCGCAATGGCTCGACCAGGCTGGGCCGGGCACTTTGTCAATTGGGGCAGTCGGGCATTAATTTCACTGGCTACTTATGGCGCATTAAATGGCAGCATCAGATCTATGGGCTACTAATGGCCCGGGTGGTAATTGAATTTTTCATTCCCATTAATGCCATTAAAGTGGTAATAGTAAATTGCCATGAATATTGAGCTGGATGTGCTTATTCTGTCTGAAATCATATATTTTGGTAATTGAAATGCAAACTATTTAGGACAATTGATGGGCCTGCTTTGGATGGAATATGAAACTATATTTACATTCTTATAAATGTTTAAAATATTTATTTAAACCAAACAAGAAGAGCAATTTTGTTTTTACATTTTTGTTGCAGATTAAAATTTAGTTTTAAAGATTATCGAAAATTTATGTTAGTACTCATAATTCCCCTAAATAGAATATAAATAATTATAGGTAAATTTAAGGGAATTACAATTGTTCAATTAGAAATATTAAGGAGCTCGTAAAAAATGCATATAAATATAAGCAAATCTAAAAAACTAATAAAAAGTTTAATAAAAATTCTATTTTAAACATCTTAGCCACTTTGGTAGCTTTATTTTATACCTTCGCGATAAATTGACAAATCTGACAAATTGAAGAATAGTCGCTGCAGTGAAATTCGGCAACGGGGGCACTTCCTGTATAGCAGTTAGCTTCGGTTCGAAATCAATATTTGCAACTCAAAACGGGCGAGCATTTCAAATTCGCGACGACAGTTGACAGCCTGCTGGCAGCGGCAATCGCACAAGAAGAAGCTGCCGCTCAAAATCAAATTAGAGCAAATGCGAAGTACTTGAAGGAAATGCGCTGCAAGCACAGGAAACCGGAAGAAGGAAGAACAAGAAAAGGCGGATGTTGGACGGACGGGGAGGGGGCAAAGGGGTCACCCGCAGGCGGAGGCAAAGGTAAAATCAAATAACAAAATCTGATTCAATTGAAACTGAGGTAAGCTGAGCAAAACTGATTTATTGATTTTCAAGCAGCGTTTTCAGCTTGGCATCGCAAATTGAATAAAGTAAAATTTTAGGCGCCTCTATAGCTGTGCTGTTGCTGATATTGTTATATAGTGGTTTTTACAATGTGTAAGTAGGGTGCTAGCAATCACTTCTACATGGCTTATTTAGTTTTCAGTACGCAGTAGAAAACATATTGGCTTATACATAAAATAAATACATAAAATTTAAAGCACATAAAATATTATTTTATAGTTTTAGAGGATGATCTCTAAAAATCAAGATCTTTGGCCCTACAAAATCTAAGTTTAGATCACTTTTTGGCTGAATTTTGGAAACACAAACTGTACTTCAACTTGTCGAAGTACTTTTTTGGAGCTTTAGGCGCATCAAACATTTTATTTACAACACATTTACGCATTTCGGTCTTTCGAACGTGGCACTTTTTTATGTTTTTCGTATTTTTGTCGTTTGTTGTTTGCGTTTGGCGTTGAGTAGCGGAAATAGTAAAAGTTTTCTAATGAGAAAAGTTTCCTCACAGACAAAGAGAGGAAGCGCCGTCGAAAGAGACGGCAATATCTGGAGGGAGTGAGACGGCAGGCGAGCGAACGACAGAGACAGAGCGAAAAGATGTCCTGAAGGAGTAAGAGTCAGAGCGGTGTCCATGTTGCCAGCGAATTTAATCATTCGCCTTGCCGCTTCCCTCTCTTTCTATGGATCTGAAACACTCATAAAAAAATAGAGTTTTTTATTTTACAAATATAGCCTTTGACTTGGGATCCCATATCATCGGAGAAAGAAAATATCTTTCTTTTTTAAAACTAAAAAACAAATTATTTCTAGTATGATCATACTTGTATAGCAGGCCCCAATATTTTTGTTATAATTTAAAATAACCCTCCTTTATATTTTTAATAGTGAATATTGAAAATCAATACCAACTTCAACGTTCGCATCTGAAAAAATATTTTCGATTGATAGAAACTTTGTGATATATTTATAAAAAGTCTTAAATATTGAAGACCTCTTTCCAGTAATAGGATATTCCTTTGTTGATGTCCAATTTTCTCGTTTTGATTTCTAGAATGATTTTATTTTTATGAGTGCACACTCTTTCCTTTCTCCCAAGGAAGTGCGAGTGTGCACATCAAAAACTAAACACGTCAAAGTAAGCAACGGAAATGAGAAAAAAGTGTGCTTATTTATTTTTGTACTTTCTTTTCACGCCCTCCCCCTTTCAACGCCCCCTTTCTCCGCTTTCTCCAGTTGACAGTTTTTTGCGTTGTCGCCTGCACTTCTATTTGACTTGACGTGGGTGGGAGCGAGAGGCAAGTAGGAGGAGCCGGGGGACAAGGACGGCGAGATCCTAGCGGCGACATCAAAGCGCGTTATAATTCGGAATTATGCAAAGCTTAGCAAACGTGGACGCATTGTGGCGTTTACAAGCGGAAATAATGAAAAATAGCGCGAGACGCTGAATCATTTGTCTCCTTCGAGGTGGGCGGTGGGGCGGAAAGGGGCGTGGCGATGCGGGAGCGGTAGCAGATTGTTGCATAACGTTGTGACCGTAATAATACCGGAACACGGAGATTGCAGCTGTAAAGCGAATTCGGTGTAACACCTTGACTAGAAGCAATCTAATTGCTGCACTGAGAAAAAAATAGGTCAATATGGGGATATTGATCTCCTTAAATATGTATAATAATATCATAAAAAATAACTAATCAGAAATTGATCCCAATTTGCATAATTTAATAGTATTGTGTTATTATTAAAGTCGAAATTGACAAATGTTAATATTTTTAAGGCAAATGCCGTAAGGATACCATTAAAAACTTTAGATTTATTTTCCAATATCCATTTAATTTACATTGGTAAAAATATGTGTGATCTCCATTTCTAAAATACGATCAATAAAGAACTAATTTTAAAACTAATTAGGATCATAGAATAACAAATGCAAATCATTGAATTTTTATTATTGACCTAAAATTATATTATTCAACAGCTTCTTTTCTATCTTTTCAATTTTCCAAGCACATTTTCTCTCTGTTTGATAGAACAATTTGATCATGTTTTAATTTTTAAGTTCTCACTCGAGCGGCAACTTTTTGTGTATCGATGTATCTGCAAGATGCATCTTAAAAATTAATAATTAAACATGCTATTAACGTGTTTTTGTATATCGCGCGACATGTAAAGGCCACAACTTTACAAGATTCCGGATAGCGTTCTAAACAAGCCAATTAAATGCAATCCCCCCAGTGGAATTAAATCGGGTATATAAAGATGCCAAAGTTGCAGCAAACGGTAGAGCAAACACCAAGCGAATTGTCCGGGTCCTTTTCGCCATTTTTGTGAGCCGTAAGAACGTGACAGCTCGGAAATGAAGCTATTTTGTGCTGTTTTGGTTATTTACGTTGTGGCTTTGACCCTCTTTGGAGTCGACGGGCGTGGCGGGGGAACCCGAAACGGAGTAGAGGTAAGATTTGGTGGTCTGTTGTGACCTATCAACTGGTCTAATCGTCCCTCTCTTTCCTGCAGGAACCCAAGTTTGGCGGGTTGTACAGACGAGTAAGTATAGGAAAGGTCAAGCTGAAGGCCAACGATTCCTAAGGCTATTGCCCTAAAAAAAAAACTCAAGGCCCCAGAGAAGTTAGAGCTACGCGATTCCCACTAGACGTTGCACTGGCGGCTCAGTCACAATTGAGCCTCCTTAATTCAAACTTATGTTAAATGCCTTTTTCTAGACAAGGCGTCATGTTCCCCAAATGAAATCCGGTCTTTTTCATGGCAACGAGCCCCATCCACCACAGAAATTCCTTGTAAGAACGTAGTCCTGAGTTTTATGTTAGGTGCATTGTTTAAGAGTCATGGATTTTAACATCATCCTTTAAATTTAAAAGTGGGGATCTATGGCTCGAAACATTTGGGTCCAGATTACTAAGTAACAGTTACAATAGAGGGGAGTCTAACTAAAAAGTTTTTAAAGGAAAAAGTTTGGACAAGCTGTTTTCTATATTATCATTTAAACTTAGATCGTTGGTTTCATTCAGACTACTTTTTTTATTATAATCAATTAACTTTCCATATCTTTGCATTGTTTTTTATTATACTTTAATTTTTTCTTCAGTTTCGTCGGGATGCCTTGGAGCAGAGCTTGTCGGCCAATGAGGCACCGCCACCGCCGCCGCAGTTCAGGGTAAGTATAAATCTCTATTTTAGTTAATGAAGAATGATCCCTAAACAATAAATATTCCCTATTCCTTCTAGCAACGCCGTCAGGCACCACCCGGACTACCGCCCCCACCAGACGGTCTTCCACCACCACCCCAGTTCCTCTTTTAAATATACCTGAATGTATAGTAAGTTGTTGGGCGTTTGTGCATGTAAATGGGAACCATATCGAAGCTAATAAAACTAGTAAGAAGCATTCCAAAAACTACGAAATCCGAATTTCTTTAAGCCATAAACCAGAGGGCAGTGTGTTTCGGGGAAACCTTAACGGCTAATCACCTAGTGCAGCTGCCATAGTAAAGAGGTTCTATAATCCTGGGTCAGGTAGAAATATCTACCTGACCTACCTGTTCTAGCTATTTAAAGGTTGAACCAGGACTCTTTGGCCATCAGTTCACCTTTGAGTTCAGTTCGTACAACACATTCTGAGATGAAGTTCGTGGCCATTCTTTTGCTAAGCAGCCTAACCATTGCGATGGTTTTGGCATTTCCTAGTAACGACGGTGAAAATGCTGCTGTGCCAATTGATAACCAGTATGTTGTTGCACTGGCCACTCCATCAGTTCCAGAATCCGCAGATACATCAGAATCGGAGGACCAGATCTCTAACAGCATACGCCGGCCACGTCATCTCCTGAGCAAACTCTTTCAACCGAAAACCGTCGTGGTTCAGCCAATAATTGTGGAGCAGGTGGTTCCCGCACAATATCCCGGATACGCACAGCCCTATCCTGGGTACTACAACCAGGGAAGACGCTACTAGTAGAACGTATTTTAAGCATTTACTTGTAGCAAATTAAATAAAACAATGACGCCTGACCTTAAAGTCAAAGATTAATTCTGCTGTTTTTTTATTTTATGCAAGGGCGTATTCCTTAGTGCAAATCCCTTAAGTCGAGAAAAAACAGTTGCCGTCTTGCCAACTCCCACTGGTAACTCCCTAATGCCTAATTAGGCATGCCGGGCACGTAGGAGCAATTCCCGAAAAACTTAGTGAAGGTCGCGCCTCGGTGACGATGACAACAACTGCCACAAAGGACGCAACGTTGCGGGATTTTTAAATAATTTTATACAAGCGATTGGCGGCTGACGCAAGAGTTCACAGGGAACTCTAATAAAGGGCACTTTATGTGCTTCTATTCAATTGCTCCGTGCTTATGTATCTGCTGGCTAATTTTACACAAGCAAATATGTTTAAAAAACAAAAACAAAAACAAAAAAAAGAACAATGCCTCTTTAAATCGGAATGTCGGTCAAGAGTACTGTAGCATTTAGGAAATTACACAGAAACACAAAATCAACAAATCAGAAAATTCCACAACCCATTTTCTTATGTACCTATACAAACAAGAGTTTGTTACGTTACCTACAGGAATCGCTAAAAATACGAAAAACCAGCATCAGTCTAGTTTTATTCATATTATTGGGATAATATACTTATTTTACTTAATTTCGATTATAGTGGATTATGAACTTAAGCTGAGTACCTATAGGCGACCCACTGTAAGGTAAAACCTTATCCTCAGAATGGGATATGGAACTAACAGAGAAAATTATATTTACACACAAGTTTCAGGCGTTACTTAATTCTTTTGTAAGCAGATCGAGGTCCTAGTGTGTCCCTAGTGTGTGTAAATACACACCCAAACATTACATTTCTCTATTGAAGATACTTGAATTTATGGCCTGTTATTTGCCTTTCGTAATGATGTTAAGCTTACAGAAAAACAGAGAAATAGAAAACCATATGGGAGAACATTTCTTAAACGCTAAACCTAATCCCCTGTTGCAGCTGCTTAAGAAATTAGGCGCAATAATATACCATAGACCTTTCTACCTGTGCTGCCTATTTAAAACCAAGGCAGATCCTTTTGGCAATCAGTTCACACATGAATACAGACCGTGCAACGCAATTATTTTGCAGAGCAGTCTTACCATCGATATCAGTAAACCAGGTCCTTTAAATACGAGTATAAGTAATATAAATTTGTTCCATCGTAAAACTATTTATGTCTCAGTGACGTATATGTACATTGTACAAATTTAATAGAAAAGTGTTTAACTGAGAAATAGTTAGATAAGTGTACTTGAAACTAAAGCTAATGTTGCCTTTAAATCTGCGAGTCTAAGGAGTTAGATTAAATCCTTAATTTTAATTAAGTAACGCTCCCATCGGATCCCAAGCGGGCAGCTCCGTGGCTTTTGATATTCTACTGGCATGTAAGACTCCTGGAGGCACAAATTTCTCGTGGACCACAATTTCGAAGCCGTACTCTTTCAGCCAGTCTGCGTCTATGGTGATGGCCTGGTTTTTTGCCGACTTCTTCTTGAGTTCCTCATCCTTATCATTTTCCTTATTTTTCTCGGCCTCATCAGCTTCATTAAGGGTCGTGGTGGATTCGCTTTTGCCATTAACAGAAGCACTCATTGAGCGGAATTCTATGGGCTCTTTTATAGAGTCCAACGCAACAGAGGTGAGCAGTACGGTGGCATCCTTACGGGATTCTTTGTAGAGTAGTCTCTCTGCTTTGCTAAGGGAGTCACCCACTTTAAAGCCAAACATCAAATCAAATCTATGCGATTGTAGACTTAATGGTCCAGTTTTTGTACTTAATATGCTGCTCAGGTCACAGCCTAGCCAAACGGGCTTGTTGCCGGCCAGAGAGTCCACTATGATCTGAACTATGACCTCCATAGATTGGTTGTTATATCTATGCGGCTGACCTCCTGTCATATTGGAGCTGTGGGTGATCTGGTAGTTCCCCTGGGAAATTGAGGACATTCGAGGATCATGACCAAGGCAAACGAAGGCGTCCAGATCGACGTTACATGCCACCATCACCTCGTAGAAATGCACTGCTGTCAAGTCATTAAGGCACTGGTACCGCTTCTTGTGGTCGTAGAATGTCCAGTTGAAAACCTCGGGGGGTTCGCCCAGGCAAATGCTCACCATGTTGAAGAGATTCGGAATCATTTCTTGAATCAGCTCCGGCAGGCGCTGGCCATCGCCATCAAATGTGAACTGGGCATGCAGCATGCTAGCATACTCACGAAGCTGAAAATGGATCATTGTTATAAGATAATACAACTAATAGATCCAATATACCAACCTTACTTCTCAGCATAATGTTCATTCGACGACTTCGCTGGTTGGACAGGTAACATTTCTTGGGCATCAAACCATATTTCTTCACCAGATTAACGAACATCTGCCAATTGCCGCCATCTGGAACCGCATTCTTCATAAAGTGGCGGAAGCAACGACCATCCAGCGGTTCGCATTGCATCAGCAGATCAGCAGTTGTCCACAAGAAGTAGTTGCATCTCTCCAGTTTGTGCCAGAAAAACAAATGCGCTGCGGAGAGTTCAAAGTCCGCCGGAAGTGGAAACTTTCTATCCATTTCCTGACGCAGCAAGTCCAGACCCGTGCAAATCCATCCTGGACCTCCAGTGGTCCCCTTTCCCTGCGTACCCACCTCATGCCATGTCTTGTCGCCGGATACTATGGAACACAAGTCCGCTTCGGATCGCAGACACACATTGATGGGATCTCGAGCGGTACATACATTCTGGGCCAGACGATTCTGCGGAGATTCGTAGAATGCGGAGCACCAGGCGGACCACTGCGGTTCGGTCAGCGGAAAGATCATTTTCGAATTCAGAATATCTTCAGTAGCTGGCATTAGGGAATTCCAAGAATAGACACTACAAATTTAGACCTGTTGTCTAAGGGTGCAAGTACTACCGGTCTATTTATTGTGTCAGGCCCACGAATAAGTCAACTGTCAAACGCTTCTGTTGATATACCGAGATTTTACAATTTATATTTCGAATGTGACATATTTTTCAAAGCAACTACACAGAGAATTTTTTTGTAACATGCGACGTTTTAACAAAAACATCATTAAAAGTAAAAGTACAACTAAACTTGTAGTAGGGTTTTTTTCTAAATGGCGCAAACCCGTTTTTACACCTAAAACCATTGTTAGATTTCTCTGTGTAGATTACAAACTCATATTGACTTATTTTTTGATAATAATATAATATTATAATATTTATAGGAACCATTCCTTTTTACACCTGTGGCTCTTGCATTTAACAAACTTTTTAAACTTAGTCTGGCACTAACAAATATTTTTTTATCATCATTTTTGTATCACAAATCCATATACACCACAAAGGGTGTAGAATTGAAACTAGTATGTTACTGGTGTATAGTTATTATTTAGTATTAAATCAGTATATACTTTTTTATACCTCCTCTAGTATAATTTTTAAATAACGGTTGTTAAATTTAAATGAAATCTACTGCAACACACTTTGTCAATTTGCGGCGCACAAAAGATCAAGGCCGTCAATTAAGAATTCGCTCAATTAGCTGAAAAAACCCAATAAAAGCTCTGTCAAGGCAAGGTCAAGTGGGCCAAAGCTAGCTTGAAAACCCCCCATCTGAGTTCCAAGAAGTGAGCATAAATTTCGCCTCAGGCCCGGTAATTGTATTCCAATAGCCAAACGCCCCCAACTGTCTGGGCTGCCTAACTAAGCGTTAGAATTAACAGGCCCTAAGTCGACGGTACGTTGAATTTCCCGCTAATCAATCACATAACGTAAGCTGGACGGCATTTCCCGATAATTGACCCACGCACACACTCGTATGGCCCCAGGTAGTGCGAATCAAGAGATTATGGCTAAGAACCACCCACAGCTCGATTTGCATTTACCAGCTACATCAATAGCTCCGAAGCCGTTTAGCATATAAATATATCTTTGAATTTGAATTTTGAATTAAAGGCGAGACAAATGCTGCTAATGCGCTTTATTTCGAGCGACTCATCTACAATTACTTGACCTTAGACAAACATGTTGCCCAGGGACTCTTGAAGATTTGCACGGATATCATCCATGGTTTTTTTGAGACTGGCTTGGACCTCATTCTGGATGTGCTCGGCATACTGCCTGGCTTCTGCCTCCAATTTATCGCGATTATCGAACGAGTAGCGGTCACCCATAAAGGTACGTCCACCTGTCTTGGCAATCACCGTATGATCGGCCAGTTCGATGACTATATCTCCATTGGAGTACTCCACCTGAGCCGGCTGTCCGTTAATATCCACCGTTTCCTTTTGGTTCACACCTGGTGCTTTTGGCTGGAATGTGTAAATCTGTCCGTGCTCATTCAGTTCAATAGCTCCATTTATAATCCGAACAGTGCGTCCATTGTTGTTGATATAACTTCCTTGGCTCTCGTCTCCATAGATGAAGCTATGCCCATTGCTCTGAATTATGCTTGAGCCCGACTGACCATTGATGATAACATTGTTATTTCCACCATGACCATAATCCTGGGAGATGTCCTCTTCACTCGAATCAGCGTCCGCAATGATCCTGCGCCCATCAGATCCTATTAGGACTGTCCTGCCATCGGGTCCTCGGATGATCTGGCCAGCTCCGTTTGATAGGAAGGTGTTTCCATTGTTCCGTATAATCGTCTGGTCTTCGGTTTGGGGAATATTGGCAGCTATGGAATAAATGATATTGTTTATTTGGTTTCAGCTCAACTAAGATTTAAAGGGAACTAAGTTAGACTACAGAAGATTTACAAATGTGCAGAAAACATATAGTTACCGCTAGACATAGAGGCGATGCCGGCGATCAGGCCCAGTAGAATCCAAGTTGCAGTGCTCGAGCCCATTTTACATTGACTATACCAATGCGAATCCAGTGTCAGCTATTTATACGAGCGCACCAAATATTAGTTCATCACGTCGTCGTCGTTCCATATATATATTATATATGATCTGTTCTCAGTGGCAATACTCTCCCACAATTGCAGATAAGACCGGGGAGGAGGTCAGCGGTGCAATCCCGGGGAATTGCCAGCGACAAGTTTGTTTTGTTTACTTGCGGTTGAGCGACTCTATGGCACTTAGTCACCGGCTTGCCAATCGACTCCCGATTTTAACGGATCGAGAGAGTGGAGCGTGTGAAATCGGGAAAGCTTTTTAGCCAGTTCAGCGGTACGCACAATTGCTATATGCATAAACCTGACAGATGGGAGTGGTGCCATTTGCTTTATACCGTTTAAAATTAATACCTATAGCACGTGTCAACATTGTTTTGACGGTCAAGCCAGGGAATTTGAAAAATTCCCAATAAACTGGTTTTCAGCCTTATCAATAAAGCCATGGGGCTTATCAGTGTATGAATATACCTTTGAAATACCTATACGAATTATAAATAACGCTTATATTTAAATTTTTTCATTTTTTATTGGGAAAAATGTTGAGATTTGAAATGCAGTAATATCGGACTTTTGTTCAGATCCTATAAAGCCCATAAATTTTAAATCTTCAGTATATATCATTTCAGTTTCTTAAAAGCATCTTAATTTGGTTATGATCCGTTTTAATCAAGCCTGTTAAAAAGAAAAAATTTCTCGAATGTGATTTGTTTCACATCCGTCTATATGTTACCTAAAAAACTTTTGATTATCTGTTATTTCTTTTGATTAAATTATATTAAATATCGAAAAAATATTGTTGATGAAATCTGATGTAGTAAATCGCTGGCCAGCTCTTTGAAACCTCATCAAATTAAAGTTAATACTCACATAGTTTTTATTCAACATATGTACATAAAGATATAACAACAGATTTATTTTCAAGTCATAACTTCATAGGTATTTATTTATGACCATACCTTTATTTGAATATGGAAATTAAGAGAGTATTGTTGTATTCGCCGAGTTAAGTTCTGGGAAAAACGGTTTCAAAACAGGAATAAATTAAAAATGATTTAAGCATTCACTGGAAAAAGCATCTCGTCTCGGTCGTGGTCACGCCTCCCTCATTTGGTTGAAATCAGTAATGCCAGTTGCCGTTGTCTTTCTTGTGTATGATTATATTATCGGTGGATTGATCTCCGCCATTCCAGGCGGGTCCACCAGCAGGGTGGTCACTATTTGAGCCAGGTCCCCAGCGCCACGGATTGCCATGAACTTTGGGAATAACCAATAGCTATAGATATAAAAGTATTTCAGATATATATATACATCACTAACCGCTGAGAATGGCGAAGCAAAGCCAGAGCAAAAACACCGCGATATGCTGACTGAGGAACATGGTCAAGGCGAGGAGTTCCAATGATGTAGCATTATATGGACACACTTATTTTATACGGCTCCTATCGGCAAGTCGCGCTCTATCTCTCATTTGATTCGTATCTCTTGGATTGCTTCAGTCTCTCTCTTTCTCTTTCGTCGTCCATGTTTGGATACGTGGAGGGGCTTGACAATGGTTCAAGCTCTAGCGACTTATGCATAATGCTATTTTCTGTTCTTTGCACTCTTTCAATTCTCAGTCAAACCGTAGTTTCAGTACTGTCAGGTGCACTTGAACAAATGGGTGTATCTATCATAATTTCAGCAAGGAGAGATTTTTAACAATTAGACCCTAATTTTAAAAAACTATTTAGTACATCCTTTCGAAGGTATATCTTTTAATCAGTGGCGGATCCAGGAGGTGGTTGCGGAAAGGGGTTGATACTATAAAAAAAATGTTTGAATAGTAATCCAAAAAAAAAATGGAATAAAATTCATATTACATATACTTTTAAGCCCCCTATATTCCCCCCCGTGGATCCCCGCATGTTTTTAATACATAATATGTCTATAAAAAAATCTTTCTTAACCACTTTTTCTTATTATACCTATTACAAAATCCATTTTAGTATTTCAGGATAATATGTGTTACTAGCGAATATTTTCAATTTTGATTATAAGTGCTTATTAGATTAAAATACTTCAATCTTCAAACCATTTTTTCTCGATTATATATTTACATAATAAAAAACATTCAATTTAAGCTACTTTGTATTCTTGACTCCCTAATAATACAAAATATTTCATAAAAAATTACCTTTACCATATACCATCGCCTTGTATTCTGCATAGTACATGCTTATCATTAGGTAGATCTTTTGTTTAGTGTAAACGCACAATAGTCTGGCAATTAAGAAGTTTCGCCATGTGGCTACGTTTCTAATTATTTTCAATTGAATTGCTTTGCCATACGTAAAACTTTTTTCATTGCTACTGCCATTAAACATATCGTCGAACTGCTCGCTCCCACCTCGGATCTCCGGCCATTGACATTATCCATGGTCCCCGGTCTCGTTGAGTGGGTCTATCGTGGGTCTATCGTGGGTGGGTGTCTGAATTTAGCCTGCACTGCATCGGGAAAAGTTAAGCTCTCGCCGAGCCAAGTTTCACAATAAAAATTAAACAGGTATTGCGTTGTTTGTTAATGACAAGCGTTTCGTTGTCGCTGCTTGGTTTGAGTGGCTGTGGATTTGGATTAGGTGGACAGTGGGACAGGAGGAACTCGGGTAAAATAAAGCAATTGCAAAGTGGAAAATAAAATGCATTGCTAAAAGTTTTGCCATCACTAGGGGAGACTAAAAAAAGTGTAGAGTGAAAATGATTGCAGTTCCTTAACATAATGGTGTGCGCGTTGGGTTATTGCTAGTGGGGTACAAGTTTATTATTTTGATTATAATAATTTTTGATGGAGGTTGTTTAATTTTGTTTAATCCTTAGGTTAAGCAGAATATTTAAGAGTTTATTAAGAGGGAAATTAAAATGCCTTAAAATTCATCCATGACAATAGCTTTATTGCTAAAAGCCTTTTACACTCAAAAACTGACTAGGTGAAGTTTCATCAGTTTGTTTCCATGGAAAGTAGAGGACATAGACGTGTGATCAGTACTGTTTTCAAATATTCAAATCAACAGCTTTAAAACTAAGCTCCTAAACTTCTTTGAAACAGAAGGACCTGGCTTTATTTTGACTGTTAAAAAATGGAAAAGTAAAAATAAATAAATCACATTCAAATTTCTTGATTTACTATGAAATCAATTGAATCAAGGTAGAAAAAATTAGATGATGTTAGTCATATTACCATTAAATGAAACCAATTTTCGCGTTAAATGTAAATTTAAAATCCTTAAATAAACAATTATTGTTAAATAATTGTTAATAATATATATTCTAAAAATATTTCAATTGATAGACTTACTGCATTTTTGATCAGTGAAGTGATGCTAATAAAGAAAAAGTTTAAAGAATGCTTATGCGGAAATGCTTATTCCACTGCAATATAAATTATAATATTATATATATAAAAAAATTATAATACCATCTGTAAGGGTGAAAAAAGAAAAATGTCAAGGCCTCATTTAAAGTGAATTTCTTTTTTAATTAAATTAATTCCAACTTATTGCGTAAACGTAAAATAAATTCAAGCACAGAAGATTATAAAAAGATTTATTGGAATTTACTCTTGACCTGGTGTTTTTCCCGCTTTCACGATTTTTGTTAGCTTATCAGAATCAAAACATTTTTGCACTGATGTCAGAAAAGTTTTGTGTGACTTCCTTTTCAAATTATAAATGGCATTGTTCTAACACGATGATACTGTAATTCAATTTTGGATGTCAAGTGCAGGTTAAGAAGCTTAATTTAACCTCAATGTGTGGGTGTGGCTTTTATTGCCTCCCCCGACTTTCTTTGCTGTATTTATGTGCGACTTACATTAGCCCAACTGCAAAACCGAGATCAGAAATGTTTCCGAACGGCGGCAAGATAAACGACTTTGAGTCTGAAATACGGCTTGTAGGTTGGCCATGGGTGTCGGATTCCATTTCGGGGATTTGCAGGGGAATTCCCCTACAATCTGCGCCTGGTCAAAGGCAAATGTGTGTCCATTGTTGCTCGTGTCGTTGTTGCTGCTGCAGTGCGAATCGAATCGATTTGATTTTCCAATCAATTAAACTTTATATAAATTGCGTCTGCGATGCTAAATATAACAACAATTTCAGAGGGTAAGCAGCGCCAGCAACAACAAGCATTTCCACAAAGCGCTACTAGAAAATAGCACCAGAGGTATTTGTTCTCTCACTCTGATTGTTTCATCCTCTCTGTCTTGCTTTCTCTCCCCCTTTCTCTCTCTCGCTTTCTCTCCCTCTTTCTCTTTCTCATCCTCTAATTCTCTTTCGGTCTCTCTTCAATGTCTCTATCAACGGCTGACTGCACAATCACAAAAAAAAAGTGTGTTCAATGGATGATCCCTCTACACTGAAATCAAGGACATTAAAGTATATTTCTTGGAACCCTAAAATTTCTTTAAAAATGTTATAGGAACCCAGAATATATATCATTTATATAACAACATTTAAAGGTGAGATGCATATGTATTAAATAAAGTTATGGCGATTTTTATCACAATTTTATAGGAACCCAGTATATAGTTATTAGATTTATATCATTTATATAAAAACTTTTAAAGATGAGATGCATGTATATTAAATAAAGTTATAACTATTTTTATCTTTGAAAAAAAACCCCAGCTGCAATAAAAATAAAAACTTTAAATTATTTTAATTATTAATATGTAAGATATTTCTCTAAATTTTAGAATCTTGAAAAACTTACCAAAGCTTGAAAGTCATACTCCCTATTTCTAGAACAGCGGTTGATAAGGAATACTAGTACATTTTGTCTTTTATTAGAGTGAGTAATTTGCAAGGGCTTATCGTTAGCTATTGTTCTACGCTGTACGTGTCCCGGCAGAGGCTAGACAGAGCTATTCACTGCTGTTCTGGAGTAATATTTTATATTATATTATCTTAAAAATGTATAATAATATTGTAATAAATATATTTATAGTAACAAATATTTGTTTCTGAAAGATAAACATTTATCCTATACATTTCATAGATTAGTGTCCGAAGTTTTCCACTGTGTAACTTAGTCAGCTGGTTGGGTGAGGATGGAGTCGGCAGATGTTGGTGGATGAGTCAGGTTAGGGGACACTACATATTGCACGACTTTGACTGCATTTTCGCATTTGGCAAATGTTTTGTGTGTGATTTTGAAATGCAGACGACGATGTTGGGCTGCTGCAGATGACTTGCGACGTGAGCCATTGTTAGAACAGTGTCAGGTGAAGGGGAGTGAGGGTAGCTAGAGACACGGAAAGTGCATTTGATCAATCGAAAATGGCAACAATCTCAAGTTTTAAAGTACTTGCACAAAGGCAGGTGGTCTTAATGAACACAATTAGCTTAATAAGTAAACAACAACTTGGGGCAAAGTGAGCGTCAGCGAAGCGACATTAATTCAATTATTAGGGCGAGCTTTATAGCCATTACCTTCAAGAGGATGAGGATTCATTAATGCTAATTGAGTACACAGCCTTGAATATATATACAAATATGTATGTACAATGTACATATGTATGTATTTGTTATGATCCATGGCGAGCTACACAAGTGTTTTCAAATGTACAGGCAGCAAATTACGTTCTGCAGATGCAAATTTATTTACACGGTGCCTAATTTGGTTGTTTAGTGATGGAGAGGAAGCTTTAAGGCAATCTATTCAATCACTTTGAACCAATAAACTAATAAATTAGTTTCTAATTTGATGGAAGCCGATAATAATAGTTTGCTGCTTATCCCAGATTCGGTTTTCGTAAAGTACTTAAGGCGTCTCAGGAAGCAGCTAAGGTAATGGCCTTTTATTGATGGCACAAGATCGTATGATATTGGCTGCCGTCTATTGAGTACTAGCAATACAATGTTAAATAAATAAATATATATGACACAGAAATAGTAGAGTTCAAAGACTGTTAAAAATTTAAAAATATTTTTAGGCGATACATTTTCATAAAAAAGGAATATTTTTCAAAAGTATTTAAATGTCTGCCATTTTCCGGTAACATCCGAGTTAAATATGGGAAAACATCATCGACAACAGCCTGACAAAGTTATGCAATTCTTCTCCATTTTCGCTCAATTTTTTTTCCTTTCAGGACAATTTTGCACTTGGACTAATTTCAAAGAGCCATATATCAGCCCCTACCCAGCCTCACCACCTCTTAACGAACCCACAAGAAACACCCAACCTTAAATTCCACTCTCTCCGGTTGGGAAAAGACACCTGTAGACTGGCAGCTCTCATCCAACACACTTCACCACCCACTAACCCCTTTTCACGGAAAAACCTGACAAATGTGCGTCAAGTTACTGGCAACTTATTTTCCACGGCCACGCCCCTTATTCGCCCACACTTTGAACCAAAGTTGAGCAAAAATATTTAACTTCGTGGCAGCGGAATCTTTTATAATTAATTTGCCACTCTGCCTGTTTTTTTTACTCGCGGCGGGTTCTTCTAACCAATTTCCCTTATTCCGGAGTTGGGTGGTGGGCTTCATATTTTACCCATTAGATGACGCCCGCATTTTCCTGAAATAGTTTCAGAACGGACACGTATTTATATTCATGGGGGAAGGTTACGTTTTCTTTGGGCGCTAGCAATCTTTAAGTTGTCTGATTGCGATTTATGGGGGTCGACGGTTGGAATAAAATACAAACGAGAGGAATCAACACAAGATTTGACATTGTGGGGAAAGGTGACTTAAATTAATTGTCTTTGGGAAATATGTTTTCACGATGTATGAAACTCGGGATCAAAAATAAAATGGTCATGTCAAAACTATTGTATTTAGTTTTCTGTTAGGTAATATGAAAAATAAATTTAATGTTATTGTCGAGTCGTTGGGATAAATATTAAAAGACCTCTCAAAATGTATTTCAGATACCATCTTTAAAATGTTCATATTTTTACAATATAGAATCAGCTATGTATGATACATTTTGTATTATATAAATTGAGAATTCTTCACTTGCTCGACGATTTTTAACTGTTTTGACTTAAGCAATAATGAAAACATTTTTTTAAAATATTTTAAACGTAAAATGTTAGCTAATGGTAAGCTTTTGTCACGCTTAAATCTTAAAATCTTGCAGGGCAGTGTAAAAAAATTTGACATTTAGGCCGGATGAGCAAAAGCTTATTTAAAGCTTGAAAAGACGTTGATAAGCTCGAGTCAACTAATGATTGATGGGTTATCTGATTCATTGAGTTGTTTGCCTACTCTTGTTTGCATAGTACTGTTTATTTTGTAGTTTGGCTGACTGATCTTGGAAAAAAACACGAAACGTTTTGAAAGATCAGTCATCTATTGGCAGGCTTGACAATGAGGTCGATTTTGCTAGTGATTCTGCTGGTAGTTGGAAGAAGTTTGGCCCAACTTGTAGTCGGAGATGGCTCACCATTAGGTGCATATAATAGAGGCCGACTAGAAAGTTACCATCAAGAAGATCTAGTTTTCGGAGAAAATACTGGAGGCCCCCTTGGAAGTATTGGAACTGGAGACCCAGAATCCGTCCCAGAGCTCATTTCTGGATCTAATAGTGGAGGACCTTTTGCCAGAAAGCCTCCTCAAAAAACTATATGGGTCAGAGAAAAAGGAGGTAGACTGGTTGAAGTCCTTAACCATCATCAAGGAGGTTTAATTTCCGGCGGACCTAGTGGAGGTCCCTTTGGAAATGGAGATCCAGAGTCTGTCCCAGAACTCATTACTGGATCTAATAGTGGAGGTCCTTTTGCACGTAAGCCTCCTCAAAAAACTAAATGGGTCAGAGAAGAAGGAGGTAGACTGGTCGAAGTCCTTAACCATCATCAAGGAGGTTTAATTTCCAACGGACCTAGTGGAAGTCCCTTTGAAAGTACAGGAACTGGATATCCATTATCCACCCAGGAACTCAGAACTGAAAATCAAATTCAGAAACTTCAGAAGCAAGTAATGGAACTGCTTCTTGAGCAATCGCTCAATTAAAATTGAATTCAAAGGTGGCAACCTTAACGAATAAATTCAAATCAATTAAATCAACCATTCAAAACTTTGTTTTATTTGCAGACTAATCAATTCAATTAAAATAATGGTTGAAAGCCTCAAGCACCAGAAGCTTAAGTAGCACATTAAGTGCTCTCCACCTGAGGCTTATAAAAAAAAGTGTGTGTGTTCAGTTTGCATGGAAGGTAAAAGGAACTATATATTTTTTTCCCACTTGGCGCATTAAGTTGTCGTCAGAAGTCATTTTAGCGCCTGCCATGTGAAAAGCGTTGGCCAATGTGTGTGTATATGGGCGTTAAATGAAGCATGTGCCTGTGTCCGTGTGATGGGTGGCTGTTGCAGGTGGGTGGTGCAGGTGGGTGAGTGGGTGGTGCTGGTGGGGCAAGTGCAACTGCAACTGCCACAATCTTGCCGCTAGCTGGCAGTTTGCGCCAAGCGAAATGAGAAAATGAGAGCAGAACTGTTCGCAAATGTTGCTGACAGCGTCACTTAGTCCGCTACCTTCATGCCACAGATATATGCACACAAGCCCACCTTTATATAAACCAAACACATACGTATATATATACAAGATGATATATAAATATAAAATACATATGTATGGTTGCGAAAAAGTGCAAAAGTGCTTTACGAGCACCTCACCGCATAAATCCTTAATGCACTGCAAATGAGTTGTGACAAATGGCCTGACCAGGCATATAATAATATATTTAGTGTTCCATATACCAGTAATTTGCCGACTTCCCTACCCCACACTCAAGTACATTATATAATTTTCTAATTCCTAGGGTTCTGTTCACACTCAACTTTCTCGCTTTTCGATTTTCGGCTGAAAGCGGTCAGCAAGGCAGGTCAAGCGCAAGGCAGAGTAAACTAACACAAAACAGTCGCCCTCAGGAGCGGATCGGGAATGTAAAAGGTACCAGACTGAACTTTATTTAAAACAAGAGAAGTATATCTGTTTATAGAAAAAAAAACGAATAAGAAATATGTTAGTTATTTAAAAAAGGTCAAAATATTTTGGAGATACATTAGGTATTATGTTAAAGAAGCTAAAACAAGTAAAAATATTAGTATACAGAAGATCAATAGTTTTACGGCTAGCCAATATTAGTTAACATTTACTTTACTTAAATATTACAATAAGTAAAATAAGACTGAACATTATTTATGATATGAGAAGCATACTTTTTTATAGAAAAAAAATCGAATGAGAGATATGTTAGATATTATTTAAAAAACGTCGAAATATTTTGGAGATACGTTAGGTATTATGTTAGGGAAGGTACAACAGGTACAAATATTAATATACAGAAGATGAGAAAACAAATACTTTTGCGATAAGCTAAAAGTAGTTTACATTTAGTGTACTTAAATATAACAATAACTTAAGTTGTGTTCCGGGTTTCCCATAAAAGTATAGATCTAATCAGGGGAAAAATGATTCCCCAAATGAATTATATCAGGCCAATTTCAAGTCGATTAAATCACACCCATCCTCTGCTCAGAAGTGAAGACCTTTCAACACACGCAGGTACAGAAACAGAAACTTCTAAATAACCCGAAGCGAAGCAAGGGCAAATTGAACTGGAACTGAGATGGCAAAAAGTTTTATCTCCTTTCTGTTAGCCCCGAGGGAAAGTTAAATGGCCCAAGAGCAACCTTTTATGCAGTTGTTTATGGACGTGAGTACCTACATATAGTGGGAGGTGGGTGGTTTCATACCTGGTCAAGTTCTTTGGTGCACTTTTTTGCTGTCATCGGTTGCGTAGCTCCAAACATGGCCGCAATTTTTGGGTGTTGCCCTTTAAACACGGTTGATGAGCGGGCAGAAGAACTTTTCAGTATGATTTATACGATCCGGATACTTACTTGCGTATCTGTGACAAAGTGTTTCTTTGATTTATAGCCCATTGGAAAAAATAAAGCCAAGCGATGGAATTGAAATACATTGTTGCAGCGGCGAATTTTATTTAACCACAATGCAGATAATTTAGTTTTATTTGTTTGTTATTGGATACTGCATATAAATTCATGATAAACCAAACTAAAATAAGTTGCTTTGTTGTTATTGATAAAAAAATAAGTCAAGTATGATTTTACTAATCATCTATTGGATCAGAAAAAAATAGTGGCGATTTCATTCATAACACATTATATCAAATGTATCTGTATGCAATAATTAAATTACTATTCCTAGTATAAGTCTTGAAGCTATACCTTGGGATCCATAACACAACAAAGCAAGTATACTTATAAAATGGGTTTGTGCTAATTTAATCTTATTGAAAAAACTCTAAACAAACCTGACTGAAGATGACTAGCGTAATAAAAAATATAAACTTTGTAGTTTCGTATCATTTATTGTACAAATATATTGATGGTGTTGTGGCCGTTGGCGACTACAGGTTGGCGACCACCATTGGAACCGTTCACATCAATTCTCTGGGAATCCCCCTGGCCGACCCTATGAACCTGGTTGTAGTTGTGGTAGTCGACTCCATGGTACCGCGCAGTTGTCCAATAGTACAGAACATCTCCGGGTTTAAGTTTCTGGTTCCGGTTGCGATAGGTCCAACGTCCGTTTCGGGAACTCACTATATCGGCCGCCCAAGTCTGATCGCTCAGATCATCCATCTCCTCGTTGACTTTGCCGTGAAAGGCGAACAGCGAAATACCGGGTTCGTTGGGAATGGAGACCTCAAAGCCCTTCGGTGAATTGACCTTGACGGTGGCCTTGGGCACATCGTAGGATAGACTACATCCCACGGAAATAGCGATGAGGAGCAGATAGACTGGGAACTTGGATGGTTGCGACATCATGATGGTAACTGGATTGGGTCGGGAACTCAGACACGGCTTATGTAGCCCGCCTTCCAAAGCTTATCTCGTCTAGTTGCGACTTGTTTTTGTCCCCGGTAAGCTGTAAATTTCCCGCCGGTGCATCCCCCCGCGACCCGAGAATTCCAAGCAGAGCCCGAAAGTAAGCAATCAAAATATTTGAACAGCAATGTTTCTTGATATATGAGAGCGGATGAATAAAGTGGAGCTTTCAGCTATACCCTACAAGTGTGTCATTCTATGTATTTGAAACGAGAACTTTAAAAACAGGAGAGACCTGAAGTCTTAGTTTTACTAATACGATATTATTTTAGTTGTAAAACAAAATATGTTGATATTTATAATATTTCAAAATATTAAAAAATTTCATTTGTATAAAAATGATATTGATATTGATTGGTTGATTGATGATATAAAAAACAATGAAAAGTGTTTGCTCGGACTAGAAGATATTTTTATATCACGATATAAAGATTTATTTTCTGCAAAGATTAAAAATTTTTTAATTGATTTTTGAATTCAAGATCTAATATTGACTATAGAAGACTTTTGAATTTGAATATGCTTAATAAGTTGGACCAATATATTACTATGGCTGTTCTCGAGAGTCGGCTGGTCATCACCGTTGGTGTCGTTTTCATCGAGTCTCTGGAAATCCTTTCGGCTCACTACATACTCCTGGTTGTAGTTGTGATAGTCTATTCCATGATATCTTGCCGTTGTCCAATAGTATAGAACGTCCCCTGGTCGAAGTTTCTGGTTTCCGTTGCGATATGTCCAACGTCCATTGCGAGATTTTATTATATCAGCCGCCCACGTTTGATCGCTCAGATCATATATATCCTCGTTGACCTTGCCATGAAAAGCGAACAAAGAAATGCCTGGCTCGTCGGGAATGGATACTTCGAAGCCAATCGGAAAAATGACCTTCACGGTGGCCTTGGGCACATCGTAGGATAGACTACACCCCACCGAAATAGCTAGCAGCAGCAGATAGACTGGTAGCTTTGAGGTTTGCGACATCACGAAAGTAACTGGGCTGTGTCGGATACTGAGACATGGCTTTTGTAGATCGTCTTCTAAAACTTATCTCGTTTGGTTGGGACTAACTTTTTTTATAAAACCTACGTTGTAAAATTCTTACTATTACACTCCCCCGCAGGCCGAAATTGTAGGCCTCTACCTAAACGTAAGCAATCAAGATATTTGCGAAACACCATATATAATAAAACCAGCGGATAAACAAAGATATGCATTTAAGTAACCTGCACTTAAAAAATTAATTTATGTATTTGAAATACAAAAAGGTTTCTTGGTTAAACTTATACTTTTAAAAATTAAAGTTTAATATTATTAAAAAAAAAAAATACATATTTAAAGAGAAGGTTTAGGTACAATATAATATGTAAATTCAATATCTCCGCGAGGCTTTGGGCATGGTTTCATGGAAATCTAAAACCTTTTGACCTGCTAAAAAATGTAAAGAAAGGTTTAAAGGTTTTTCATAAAATCGGTATATTGGATTTTTTTGGGATTGTGCAAATTGCAAACAAGTCCCGCCGCCCCGCCCACTGTACCATGCATTTTCCATAATCTAGAAATTCGGCCGCGTGCCCAAAAATATGCAATAGAAATATTTGCATAGCCATATTTCTTAAGAATGGGAGCGGGTTGATAAAGAAGTGCTTTAAGCTACAACCTCACCACATGAGTGCGGTTTTCTTTGGGACGACGACTCCTTTGTACCATGAAACTATATGTACATGTACATAAATATATGCAGATGATCCGCCCGCCTTGTTGGCCACAAGCAATCTTGCGGCATTGTTGCCGGTCCTGTTTTACTTTTGGCTGCAAGTATGTAAGTACTTGCCATTCACGTAAACACAGGCTTGGCATCCCTCGTTGGTATTCGCGCCGCAGACAAAGGGAAAGCAGGTCCTCCTACTGGGAGATACTTAGACAGTCAATTGCTGTCAGTGGCCCAAAGTCAGGGTGCAATGTTAACCGTGTTGTCACTGAGCGGGCGGTTTGGGCTAGAAGTATACACTTAGTACTCAACGCACAGGTACTAACTCTGTGTACATTATTAGACGAAGTTTGTAAACTAATTTTAAGTCGTTACTGCAACAGTTATTATTCTGGCGTATAGCAGTAGTTCCCTCAGATGGTCTCGAAATAACTCGATGGTGTCAGAAACGTTCTTGAGTTGCTATAATGGTTTGAAGTAATTTCCCAATTACCCATGAGTTCTTGTAAGGAAGTGAGTAAGAAGTAAGCTTGTGAAGAAGTTTTGTCGATTAATGTCAAAGTCCCAAGATATTATTAGGTTGAAAATCGATTATTTTATAGAAACCTTTGGTATAATATTGTCTAAAAAAAGAACACAAATTAATCAAGTTATATCTTGACTTAAAGTAAAAGTTGTGAATAATGATAGTAGTAATATAATATATATAATAATATATTTTTGCTTGTCCTCTCATTAAAATTGGTTTATGTTAAAATCAGCTTACACTTAAATCCCATTCATAAGTTTTTGAATGTATGGATGGTTAAAAAAAATATAACCTTATTCTTGCCCTTAAATATAGTAGCATTTAATGTGCAAGAAATTAATTCAAAAGCTTAATACATATTTTTAAGATTTAGGGGTGCGCAATGGTAGTAAAGTTTATTCAAAAATTACTCATACCACACGTTCGCCAGAAGAAATTTTTCTAAGTTTTCAAAATTTATCACTTTGTCAACTTATTGGTTTTGATAATTATTAAAGTAAGGAAGACTTAAAATCGAATGTTTAGTTAAAAAATACACCACCTATACTGTAAAGGCAACAGTACGTATGAGTGATAAACTTTAAAGACGATGCGCAGACCCTTTTTTATCAGTAAATTTTATTTTGGTTTATATTAGGACCGCAACTATACAAATTATGTTCCCCACAATTATAGTTGATCAGCACTAGGAAACTCTTCTTCACGAATCCCGTGAGCGCACTTAAAGCGGCTTATGCCCAAGGACCCAGCCTAAACAGATGGTAGTTAATTCCTAATTGCCCCGCCATTTGTCAAACAAAATGATTCAGCTAACCAACTCGGACAAACCAGCTCTCGCCGGACTGACAATTGTCCCAGAAACAACATTAAAACACAAAAGCGCAATATCAACTTCTGCCCACCCCCCTGCAAAACAACAGCAAAAAAAAATGATGATGGCGATGGGGATGGGTTTGGGGTTGGGGAAAACAAGCAAAGTCAAACCACAGCAAACCGAAACTAAATAGCCGAACATTTATACAAGCAATCTATCCGTAGCTGGCCGCTCAATCTATTCATTCAGTCATTCGGACCGTCCACTCACTCGGTCATTCGCTCATTCGTTCAGCTGTCCATCGCAATGCGGGTCGCGATGCCGGGGTCATCTATCCTCCAAATGTTTGCTGATGTTGCGCCCAAGCGGCTGGCGCTGATTTATAAGCTGCATGCCGCTGACCACTTGATTGCGTATCTGTATCTGTGTCCCGCTTTCACTCCTTTCATTCGCTTTCCCATCCCATCCCCATCCCTTTCCCATGCATGTGTGTAATTTATTTACGTTAACACGCGCTAGCTGGCCCAAACCAAACCAAACTCAAACCCAACCAAACCATGGCAAACACCCGAAAAAGCGAGCCGTTGGAGAATGAAGAGCAATTTTCATTTATTTTAAATGGCATAGAAAATTGCAAACTGACATTTTTCTGGCCCAAGTGCTCAGCCTCGGTTTTGGCCCCTTTCCATCTTTGCCATCGGTTTCCCAATGGCTTTGTGCACACAGCCGGAAATTTGTGTAGTTGTGCAGTTTGGTAGTTAGATGACTGGGTCCAGGTCCCAGACTGATTACCATGAAATTACATTGTTTCGCACTTAAAACATGCCGGCCAGTGTAAATGTGGGCCAAAAGCACTCTCACACCCGTTTCGGGCTTAATTAAGTGGCCTGTTTTTATCTGTGGCAAACATTTCTTTACCCCACCCCAAAAACCATACGACCATCACCCGAAACAGCATTGAATTTAATTGCTTGCATTTATTGTTAATTGATTTTATTTTTAGCAGTTTAGCATGGAGATGTTTTTTCGGGCTGTCAGGTGCTGGTGCTTGGCTATTTATTCGGGCGTGATTTAATTTATTTGGTATTTGCCTAAATTGAATGAAAATTGATTTTAAACTTAATCAAATTTTTTGAAACTGTCAATGATGCGTGTCAGAAGCCAACAGCAACAGGGCACAACAAAAAAAAAGGGTTTTTCGCTGCAGGAATCCCATTCAGAAATTGAGCATAATTCAATCAGCCGGTTGTTACAATATTTTTCTGAATAATTTGGTGTACATGTAATGCTTTTTGTGATGGCTCAACTTGTCGCAAATGCAAAATGTAATATACGCAAAAAGTCACCAATAAGCCTTTCGCATTGATGGTACTCGCGAATATTCTTTCAAATTAATATTTCATTTTTAGCATTTGTACTTTTTTCAGAGCGTTTTTGCCATGGAACCTACAGGCAATCACCAAAGCTATTGACATGATTTATTTCTAATCAATTTCTTTCATGTAAATTTATCAGCAGAATTCCCTATTAGCATATTTTATGGTTGCATTTATTGAAAATATCTATAAATGTAAGTACACTAGTCGGCAAAAGTATTTTGACGGAACATTTACAATCGTAAAAAATAAAGGCAAGAGAATTTTATAAAAATTCTATTTGCAGTTCTTATTAGTTTTGTTTGGAGAAACTTTTTGCATCAAAAATTTTTTGGTTTTCAATCCGTGGAAGAAAATTCTAAAAGTTGACTTTCAAAAATAATTTGACATTTTTAAAAAGTGCTGAATGGGTTAAAAATAGTCTTGTATCATTCAAAAGGCATTTAGATAACATTTCCATTGATGGCAAAATGTACATGAGGTAAATTCAAATTATGAGCATATTCAACTTTTGTTTCGTCAAAATACTTATGCCGACTAGTGTAGTTGAAAGTGACACTTTTAATAGTTATTAAAACAATAAACATAACTTTTCATTGTTTTTTGATTTTCTTTTCAACAGGCTTTAGTCATTTTTGGCTATGCTATCACTAATATAAGCTTTTAGTGTGCTGGTTTAAGATTCTGTGGCTCTCTCGATAGCTGTCTTGTGTTATCCTTGCTGGATGCTTTCGACACAGTCTTTGCTTATCCATCTCAATTTCCCATAATCAATTTTACTGAGCTCCTGCAAAAGCAAACACCTTGGCACTCCTCCGTCCATGTTCGTCTATATCTGGGGAGTAAGCAATAAGCTAAGCCAAGATCTATCCAAGCATACACCTGTCATAGCTCACACTCGGTCCGCATCCGATTCTCCATCTGTGTGTGCACCCATTTTACGAACCACAACCACTTCGCATGTAGCTCCTGCTTTACACATAAGTTCAGTTGCTCAAACATGAGGACAGTATTCCTCCTCAGACCCCTACTCCAAATACCGCTCCTGGATATCCAACACCACCCAGGGCTCCTTTTGCCAGGGCGCACATATTTAAAGAGCAAACGTTTATCTAAGTTGTACCGTTGCGGTTTCCGTTGACATTCAAATGCGGAAGCACCTGTCGCCCAGCCGAGGGAATCTGGTGACTGCGACTCGAAGATGTTCCACTCAGGACAGCCCGGATGGAATGGGGCGTTACGATGGGCGTGGGACTGGTATCCACTTCCGATTTCACACGCATACGAACAGGGGCAGGAGCTCTAGATATTGCGAGGGTGGGTTGTGCAGTATATCCCTTATAAGATATAATATGTTATGATCGTTTGCTAATATATTGCATGGAAAATAAGAGTTAAGAAAGCTTTTAGATTGCTTATCTCATTGCAGATATCTTTGTTATTGACCATTTTCCTTTATTTTAGTTTTATCTCATTGTAGATTTTATTGTTCTGATCCGTGTTCTTTATTTTAAATTGTGCAATTTAACCACGTACTTAACTTAGTCCTTAATACTCCCCATATAGAAGATGGTGTGTAGTTAATATATTAATATATTTTATAAGTTCTGGAGTCTTTCGATCCAAATGATGCAGACTCGACAAAAGTAACACGAGAGTTGCTAAAAAACTCGGATCTTGAATCAAATTAAATGTCTACATATATGGAAGTATTCTGAAAAACTTCCAGACTACGTAACTTTTATATTTGAATCGGGGATGACATTAATAGATGGAATGAAAATAGTGGAAAAGCTAACATTTTTTTTTAAAACCTTACAGGAAAGTAATAAAGGACGGACAAGAATAAGATTTGAAAAAGTAATTCATCAAAATCCAGACTCCAGCATTATAGAATCCATTAACATGGATATATGTGTGTCGTAAGCTACATTTTCCAGAAACATCATTTTAGTTCCATCTTCACTTTAATTTAGCGATTCAAACATCCTTTTTGTCATGCTTTGGTAATTAATAAGTTTTGGTGATCTTTTTGTCTTCTGAATGATTTAGGTTATCATTTTTTCTCCCTACGTAAACAAATATTTTAGTATGTTGCCATAGTATTATTATTGCTCTCTGGAAAATAGGGAAATATTATAAACATTTTAATTTAATTTATTAATTAAGTACGTCTTTAATTGCAGGCTTAATGGTGTCAAATAATGGTAAATTATGTAAACAGATTAAGGTTAATAAGGTTAATTTTAGATAGAGAAAGTATTTACTTTTCAAAAAGCGTCAACCGAAGGCCATTTTCTGCAATTTGATAAGTAAATCGAAAATAACTCTGAAATTGGAAACAGGAACATGTCTGACTCACTGATTAGATATATAATATCCAAAGGCTAGAATAGTACCTTACAACTCTCCCCCCAGAACGAACTCCCCATGCAAACCTCGGGCGGTACGGTGCCGGATACACACTCCGCTGGGCATACACGACAAGTTTCTCCAGATCCCGCCGGCGTACCTGGCTGCGAATACCTCGAGGACTTTGCCACTTTGTAGTTGCTTTTGAATTCTCAAGTGTCTGCGTCGTCAGCGTCGTCAACTTTAAATGGTTTCGCTTACACCTCCAGCATGCCATTGAACAAATTAATTACTCGACAACTTTACAAGCGTTCCAATGGTTCCCTGTCCCGCAGAATCGTGGTTTCCTTCTGCTCAAGCGGCTGCTCATTAGAGTGCTGCATATTGTTGGAAAGTTGCCATCATCATCATCATAGCCATCGCCATCGCCATTGCCATCGCCATCGTCATCGCACATCCTGGACCTGCGAAAAGGGTGCTCACGCATTTTCGATTGCTGAGCTCATTAATAATGGGCTCTGGTGCAATCCTGGCCATGTATTTGTGCGCAATGTGAGTTATGCGCCACGCCGGCCATTGGCCAACAAAGCACCCAAAATGGGCATTATTATAGCGATGGCATGACGAAAAGTCACGAACTTACATTGTACATTGCGAAATACTTAAAGTGCTCTTTCGCCCTTTTCGTTTTACTGATTTTATCATATAAAAAGCTTTTTAAATTCCTTTAATTACCAAAAAGGCCAGGCCCATTTTCACCACGTATTTACTGTTGAATGTACCTGTGTATTTAAAAACAATACATCAATAAAAAAATTAAATACTTTGCATAATTGCTAATTTTATGAATATTTAAAAGCCTGGAAAGAACAAAGAATTGTACCATGGAATACAGCTGATACATTCAGAAAAATATTCGCCTACAAATTTGAGAAACTTGATGTCAATAGCAATTTTTTTTTAATTTTGGTAAAAATTATTTTTATTTTAGTAAGTAATTTTTTTTCTAATAAAACATTTTTAGGGAGTATTATTTATAACTTAGAGAATAAATTGCCATTGACTTTAAATTTGTAAAATTCACGTCGAATACTTTTTGAGTGTTTTAGAATAAGGCTAGCCACTTTGAGCCGTAATAATCTAAAGAATTTGCGAAAATTTGAGTTTGAAGGATCCGTAAGGACCAAAAGTTAACCGTGCACTTATTAACCGTTTGTTAAAGCGGAAGACTTTATATATATAGATTCCAGGTGTTTAATTTTCCATCTGCTACTTACCTTCTCTCCCATATTCCTTTCTAGACCATAAATACAATCGCTTATCGGGCATGGATCACGCTGCCATCTCCATCTGTGAAAATATTACAATGCAGCTGGCTAAATGGCCATACATTCTGTTTCTTGGCCGCTGCTATTGCAGTCGCCTCCTCCGATTTTGGCTGCGCTCCCGTTTCGCATTGCCGGAAATTGGAAAAGTGTTGCTTTATGCGCAGCTGGAGCGGGGATTTCGGTATGGGGGATCTGTGGCTGGGACTTGGTAGGGGAGTCACTTTAGTCCTTTTATGCACGCGCCACCCCGAAGTGGGTGTACTCCGGAGTTCTGGCCATTGTTCTGGTCAAAAAAGAGGAGCTTGGCCAGGATATGAATGCTGTGGACTGCTTAGTCCAGTGCAGTTTGGAGTGCAGAGGCGCGTAGTGTGCATCCTCTTTTTGTTTTTTTTTTTTTTTGGAACTTTAGGTATCCTGGAGAGCTGCTAATGGGGACTGTTGAGCATGCATGTCCTATGTGGAGATCTTTGGCGGATGGGCTCGGCACTGGACGGCGAAATTGATTCATCCGGAAAGACGTATTTAGCATTTATGTAAACTCCATTTATCCAATCCGGTCGGCCGTGCTGCGGTTCACGAAATTGTTGCACAAATTGCCAAATATTTGCCAAAAATTATTGTATCAATATCGAGAACCCTAGCTGTTAACCATTAAAATTGTTTGAAATTATGGAGTTTCACAGCCGCTTTTGTTGTCCATCCAATAAATTGAATTTCATCACCGCTTTTTTTTTTTTTTGGCCTGGGCTCGATGATGAAAATCAGGCAAATTTATATCTCTGTGGTAAAGCGGAATTTACACAAAAGCCAATGTGGCTCTGACTCTTCATTTTGTTATTTTACAAATACGTAATTTTGTTTAGCGTAATTGCGGCTGCAATTGAAACCGGACCCTTGATTGGAGAGCACTATGTACACATGAAATTCGCGTGTAGACGCAGACATGATGGCTGCAAATTTGATATTTGCGTTTTAATGAAGGCACTCGTTTTTTTTTGTTTGGCCAATTGCTGATAAGCTGGCGAATTCGAATAAGCGGATTCCATCACTAGATTGCATTCAAAATGAGATTTTTGGTTTTCAATTGTATCCAGTATGCAGCAGAGCCGAGTTAATGAGCAGCCAGTAGACACGCCCGTCTGTGTCCGTTTTCCAATAAAGCTCGAGTGTAAACAAGCTCGAAAGGGCAGTACCAAAGGGCCAAGTTAATAAAAGTTCGCGACATGAAAAAGCGGTGCAGCTGAGCTCTCTGCATGTGAGGGTATGTAAAGTGGGTGTTACTGAAGTAAAATTTATGAGAAAATCCGGGAAAGAGCTTCATAGGTTTCCTTTGCATTTGATTTATGTAAAATTGTTAATTTAAGAGTTTTGGTATACAATACAAGCTCTCAGAAATAATGTAATAAAGATACTAAAAGTATATTTCAAAACTATATCAATTATAAATAATTGTAATCATATTTCCTGTACGCCTTTGGCAAAAAACAAATTCATTGTTTTTAATTGTAGTTTAATTTCTGAAAAATCATATCAGTTTCTTTATTATAGAATACTTGTTTTAATTAAATTGGCGTTTTTACCATTCGGATTGCTTTAAAAAGTTTATAACAATGTTTAATAAATTATCAATTACTTTTCTGACTTTTGTATCTGTAAAAACATTTGGCTCTCCCTGTTAGGCAATCCTTTTTGAGCATGCAAAAATAAAAGCATTACGAAAATAATTAACTTTGTTGAACATTTTTAAATATTCAGAAATTTGGGGAGTACAAAATTAAGGCGGAGTGCTGACCCTACTAAAAAGTTAGGAAATCTTTTTTTATGTTTATAAATTGGAGGGATTATGACTCCAAAGGAAAGCATCCATAATTATTTTAGGGGGAAATCCAACTGCCGATTTCCATTAAGAGGTAGTTCATACTTTTCTTGGTTGGCCGCCGTTTGACAGTTCAGTTAATTAAATTTTGGTTGCACAGGTTGGGATATATAACCGTTTGCTGCAGTTGGTCTTAGCCAATACCGATGTCTCTTAACTCTTTGAGGTTTTAACCCGGCCATCGTGACTCCACCGCTGGGTTTTCCTTCTCATCCCTGGTCTTTGCTCTCGTTTGTCTCATTCCACTGCGGCTTTCCCGATCATTGGTAATTTACGCTTCACATGACCAGAGTTGGAAAAATTTCTTCATTCTGTTTTCCACTTGCGGCTTTTCCGACGGTGTTTCCCTTTTTTTTTCACCGGTTGTTGTTGACTTTAAACTTGTGCCATAGGTGCGTGTTCGGGGCTAAGCTGCTTATCCTGCCTAGGGGAAATGCGGTTAGGATCCTTGGTCTTGGTCCTGGTTTCTGACATTGATTGGTGCCAGTGTCAGGGATTTATTTATCTTTTAAGAGCGTATTTATTGTCCCGCATTAAAGGTGGGCTTTGGGAAAAACAAAAAAAAACTTAAAGGAAAATCGGAGACGGCAAATTCCCGAGAAAAACTGGGGTCAACTGGCGGATTGATCACTATTTTTGGCCTCATCATACATCTTCACTTATCATTTGCTCAACCCGATGTGTGTGTGAGTAATCCTGGTCATTTGACACTTTCACTTTGCTAGCCGTACAATTTATTTCACTTTTATCAGACATCAAGACATATTGATTTTTGTCTTCGTTGGGCGCCAAAAAAATATTGCTAGCCCAAAGACGATAATCTGATGGAGCCTACTGACCGCCACCCAAAAAAAAAGGTTGGATTGGGTTCTTATGAGGGTCATATGCCTATGCCTCTTGAACGTAATTAAAGTTGATTGATTACGTGAGCTCATCGTCCGGTTGGGTTGATGACACACCCTGGAACTTTTCCTTCATTCCCACATCCCCCCAAACTCAATCTCGTTAATTTTTAATCATCTTTTTTTTTCAGGCGCAAATTAGTTTGGACATTTTGTTTTGATGTGGGTGCCAAAATATATTAATTAATTCCCTCTGCTCAGGTAAATCCGCTTAGTTACTAACCAATTTCCTAGAAAGGCCTTCTTGTCCCAAGTTTATTTTGCCTATTTATTTTATAAGCCGCTTTGTGTTGTCTAAATGTTGGGCACTGGAAGGCAATCCCTAAAATAAAGAAACATTTAATCAGGAATGGTGGTCTCCTGCTGTTTTATCGTTAGCATTAAGTCCTTCAAATCTCATTCTCTTTGTTTGAATTGAGTTAATGAAGATTTAAACATTTTTAATAACATTCTCATGTAACATTTATATTAAATTAATACAATTCACAACACTGACAAAAAACGCAGCGAAACCAAAGATTTCATAATCAATGTAAATATTTTTGCATTTCACCGATGGGGGTTTTAATTAATCTTAAATATTGAAATATTTAATTTCACATTTTAAGTTTACTGAAAGAATTTAAGTTTTAGATTTCAAGCCTGTTCTGATTATCACATTCGAGAAATTGTTGGCGTTATTGGTAACTTGGAATACTTTTGGTCATTATTGCAATATCGTTGATATATCAATAATGTGATATATATATCACAATAAAGATAATATTCTTTTAAAAAAACGCGTTAGAACGGACTAAATATTTACATTTGTGCAAATTGAATTCGAGTAAAATTTCCCAGTAACAAAAAATACTTAAGATAAGTATGACTAACATTATATTGGGTTAAATAATTTTAAAATAAATAACATATCGTATTTATTTCAAATCTGTAACACGAAACTTTGACTTGAACATGCTTATATTTATTTTTTATTGTTCCATTTTTTCCCCAGTGATGTTATGTGTAAAATGTGATATATAAGACCATTTGTAATTTAATAATGACAGATATATTGATTAAAAAAATGGTGTTATGTGAAAAGGCTTACGCCATTTTATAATTATATTTATTAAATAATATAAACCCCATTAAACTGAATTTTCATGAAGCCTAAAGAGAGTACAACTTCAGGGGTTGGGAGTTGGGTAATAAATGCACTTGACCCCAAAGGAAAAGCAATCAAAAAGGAAAGCGCTCAGCTGCCGATGAAGACACTTTTCCCGGCTGCAGGACGAAACATAAACTCCACGAAGGGCGTAAGGACACAGGGATTGGCAGCAGGATTCCTTCGCAATCGTGGACGAGTGACAAACTAATTTCATTACGAGCAGCTGGCACCGACATGGACATTGTCTCTATACGAGTGTATCCCTATCCCCTATCCCAATGAAATCCGGTCATAATGCCTGTAATAATAATCAACAGCCCCCGAGGCAGGGTGGAAAACTGAGCTTGGAACCCGACAGAAGATGATAAGTAGACACGGACCTGGACACGGACACTTGCAGCTTTGCGGATCTCCGGCTGGCCATAGCAATTGCCATCGCAAAAATAGAACAATTTCACTAAAAATAAAAACAAAAGCCAGATAAGTGGGCCAGCGGCCAGATGAGGGGGCGTGGCAAGCTGTGTGTAATATGTGCACAAATTGAAAATAAAGTTTTGTAACAAAATGTCGCACCGGAAATGAAACTCGCAGCATGAGACTTGGCTTGCCATCTCACCATCTCTATCTCTAGCTGTCTCTGTCTGCGGGAAAATGTGTAGCGAAGCGTGTAAACTGGATATAAAGGCAGAGGCATTTTGGGGGCGTGGTCGGAGAAAGGAGCAAGGAGCAAGGAGAAAGGAGAAAGCAGCAGCAGCAGCAGCAGCATTGTTTGCCACTATTTTCTGGGCCAGGAAGATGGGGCGGAACATCTCTGATTCCGCCTTAGTCTAGGCGCAGTCTGCTCCAGTTGAGCCTTTGCCATAATAAAAGATGACATTTTATAGCAGTCACAGCCATGTTAGCAGTGCTCGAGGGGAGCAGGAAGGCTCGAAGGATGCTCGGTGGTTTTGGGCCTGGGCCTTTGGCCTAGCCAGATGCCGGGGGCAAGTCAAAGACACAGCTGCAAAAGTACATAAACCCAGAAATGTCATGTTTATTTTCATTTCATAAGGAAATTGTCTGTCTATATAGTTTTGGGCTGAGGGAGGAAAAGCAGGAGGAGCAGAACCAGCACCTGGAAAAACTTTGCCAATAAGAAGGAGCCGGGCTTGGTCTAGTGTTTTTTATGACCCCCCCCTCCCCCCCACTCACATAAAGTCGCGGCAAGCTGAACGATTTACGGCCAGGAAGCAAATTTATAGACCATAATTAGCATATGAAATGGTTAAGTGCACCACAAATTGCACTTCAGTGTAGTGCACATGCGGCTGAACCGGAAATAAAGCTGGCTGGAAACCCATATTAAATTGAATTCGCGGCTGCTTTGGGGTCGATTTAATGGCACTCGATGTGGGTTAATCTCCGATAGAAACTTCTTGATGCGCACGCACTCTTCTTCGGTGTGCGTTAACTTCTAAGAGTTTCCCACTCGCTAATGGCTTAAAAATCGGGCATAAATTATCCCCATTAAATATACAAATTTCTGAAAACTTTGCCTTAGCACTTTTGCCACTTTGAGTGAGTGCCACAGGTTGAATCTTCAGGCACACACGGGTAGGCTGGAAAATATCCACTCATCTAATCGCCTCGTTAACATCATCAGCCATTTCGCAATGTCATGGCCCGAACAATGGCCAAAAGGATGTGAGTGCCGGAAGACCCCCTTCCGGCTAACCGTTTAATCATTTTGTCACGCGTTGGCTAAACAAAAACGGAGGTCTCGCTGGTGGGGGAATTAAATTTTAGCATATGTCATAAGGGCTTAGCCATGATTTATACGGCAAAAGGCGGCCATCAAATGTCGGGATAGAGCTTGTAATAAAGGGAATTAGGGGATCCCCTAG